CCGTGTGTTCAACCCACCGTGTGTTAAACCCACCGTGTGCTAAACCTAGTGTTTTCAATCCACTGTGTGTTCAACCCACCGTGTGTTCAACCCACCGTGTGTTCAACCCACCGTGTGTTAAGCCTACCGTGTGTTCAACCCACTGTGTGTTCAACCCACCGTGTATTCAACCCACCGTGTATTCAACCCACCGTGTGTTCAACCCACCGTGTGTTCAACCAACCGTGTGTTCAACCCACCGTATGTTCAACCCACCGTGTGTTCAACCCACCGTGTGTTCAACCCACCGTGTGTTAAACCTACCGTGTGTTCAACCCACCGTGTGTTCAACCCACCGTGTGTTCAAACCACCGTGTGTTAAACCTACCGTGTGTTTAACCCACCGTATGTTCAACCCACCGTGTGTTAAACTCACTGTGTGTTAAACCCACCGTGTGTTAAACCCACCGTGTGTTAAACCCACCGTGTGTTCAACCCACCGTATGTTAAACCCACCGTGTGTTAAACCCACCGTGTGTTCAACCCACCGTGTGTTAAACCCACCCTCTGTTAAACCCACCGTGTGTTAAACCCGCCGTGTGTTCAACCCATTGTGTGTTCAACCCACTGTGTGTTCAACACACCGTGTATTCAACCCACAGTGTGTTCAACCCACCGTGTGTTAAACCTACCATGTGTTCAACCCACCGTGTGTTCAACCCACCGTGTGTTAAACCCACCGTGTGTTAAACCCACCGTGTGTTCAACCCACCGTGTGTTCAACCCACCGTGTGTTAAACCTACCGTGTGTTCAACCCACCGTGTGTTCAACCCACCGTGTGTTCAACCCACCGTGTGTTAAACCTACCGTGTGTTCAACCCACCGTGTGTTCAACCCACCGTGTGTTAAACTCACTGTGTGTTAAACCCACCGTGGGTTAATCCTACCGTGTGTTAAACCCACCGTGTGTTCAACCCACCGTGTGTTAATCCTACCGTTTGTTCAACCTACCGTGTGTTCAACCCACCGTGTGTTCAACACACCGTGTGTTCAACCCACCTTTTGTTCAACCCACCGTGTGTTAAACCTACCGTGTGTTCAACCCATCGTGTGTTCAACCCACCGCGTGTTCAACCCACCGTGTGTTAAACCTACCGTGTGTTCAACCCACCGTTTGTTCAACCCACCGTGTGTTCAACCCACCGTGTGTTCAACCCACCGTGTGTTAAGCCTACCGTGTGTTCAACCCACCGTGTGTTCAACCCACCGTGTGTTCAACCCACCGTGTGTTCAATCCACCGTGTGTTAAACCTACCGTATGTTCAACCCACCGCGTGTTCAACCCACCGTGTGTTCAACCCACTGTGTGTTCAACCCACCGTGTGTTCAACCCACCGTGTGTTAAACCCACCCTGTGTTTAACCCACAGTGTGTTATACCCACCGTGTGTTAAACCCACCGTGTGTTAGACCCATCGTGTGTTATACCCAACGTGTGTTCAACCCACCGTGTGTTCAACCCACCGTGTGTTCAACCCACCGTGTGTTCAACCAACCGTGTGTTCAACCCACCGTGTGTTCAACCCACCGTGTGTTCAACCCACCGTGTGTTCAACCCACCGTGTGTTAAACCTACCGTATGTTCAACCCACCATGTGTTCAACCCACCGTGTGTTCAACCAACCGTGTGTTCAACCCACTGTGTGTTCAACCCACCGTGTGTTAAACCTACCGTGTGTTCAACCCACCGTGTGTTAAACCTACCGTGTGTTCAACCCACCGTGTGTTCAACCCACCAAGTGTTAAACCCACCGTGTGCTAAACCTAGTGTGTTCAATCCACTGTGTGTTCAACCCACCGTGTGTTCAACCCACCGTGTGTTCAACCCACCGTGTGTTAAGCCTACCGTGTGTTCAACCCACTGTGTGTTCAACCCACCGTGTATTCAACCCACCGTGTGTTCAACCCACCGTGTGTTCAACCCACCGTGTGTTCAACCAACCGTGTGTTCAACCCACCGTATGTTCAACCCACCGTGTGTTCAACCCACCGTGTGTTCAACCCACCGTGTGTTCAACCCACCGTGTGTTCAAACCACCGTGTGTTAAACCTACCGTGTGTTTAACCCACCGTATGTTCAACCCACTGTGTGTTAAACTCACTGTGTGTTAAACCCACCGTGTGTTAAACCCACCGTGTAATAAACCCACCGTGTGTTCAACCCACCGTATGTTAAACCCACCGTGTGTTAAACCCACCGTGTGTTCAACCCACCGTGTGTTAAACCCACCCTCTGTTAAACCCACCGTGTGTTAAACCCGCCGTGTGTTCAACCCATTGTGTGTTCAACCCACTGTGTGTTCAACACACCGTGTATTCAACCCACAGTGTGTTCAACCCACCGTGTGTTAAACCTACCGTGTGTTCAACCCACCGTGTGTTCAACCCACCGTGTGTTAAACCCACCGTGTGTTAAACCCACCGTGTGTTCAACCCACCGTGTGTTCAACCCACCGTGTGTTAAACCTACCGTGTGTTCAACCCACCGTGTGTTCAACCCACCGTGTGTTCAACCCACCGTGTGTTAAACCTACCGTGTGTTCAACCCACCGTGTGTTCAACCCACCGTGTGTTAAACTCACTGTGTGTTAAACCCACCGTGGGTTAATCCTACCGTGTGTTAAACCCACCGTGTGTTCAACCCACCGTGTGTTAATCCTACCGTGTGTTCAACCTACCGTGTGTTCAACCCACCGTGTGTTCAACACACCGTGTGTTCAACCCACCTTTTGTTCAACCCACCGTGTGTTAAACCTACCGTGTGTTCAACCCATCGTGTGTTCAACCCACCGCGTGTTCAACCCACCGTGTGTTAAACCTACCGTGTGTTCAACCCACCGTTTGTTCAACCCACCGTGTGTTCAACCCACCGTGTGTTCAACCCACCGTGTGTTAAGCCTACCGTGTGTTCAACCCACCGTGTGTTCAACCCACCGTGTGTTCAACCCACCGTGTGTTCAATCCACCGTGTGTTAAACCTACCGTATGTTCAACCCACCGCGTGTTCAACCCACCGTGTGTTCAACCCACCGTGTGTTCAACCCACTGTGTGTTCAACCCACCGTGTGTTGAACCCACCCTGTGTTTAACCCACAGTGTGTTATACCCACCGTGTGTTAAACCCACCGTGTGTTAGACCCATCGTGTGTTATACCCAACGTGTGTTCAACCCACCGTGTGTTCAACCCACCGTGTGTTCAACCCACCGTGTGTTCAACCCACCGTGTGTTCAACCCACCGTGTGTTCAACCCACCCTGTGTTCAACCCACCGTGTGTTCAACCCACCGTGTGTTCAACCCATCGTGTGTTATACCCAACGTGTGTTCAACCCACCGTGTGTTCAACCCACCGTGTGTTAAGCCTACCGTGTGTTCAACCCACCGTGTGTTCAACCCACCGTGTATTCAACCCACCGTGTGTTAAACCCACCATGTGATCAACCCACCTTGTGTTAAACCAACCGTGTGTTCAACCCACCGTGTGTTCAACCCACCGTGTGTTCAACCCACCGTGTGTTCAACCCACCGTGTGTTAAACCTACCGTGTGTTCAACCCACCGTGTGTTCAACCCACCGTGTGTTCTAACCACCGTGTGTTAAACCTACCGTGTGTTCAAACCACCGTGTGTTCAACCTACCGTGTGTTCAACCCACCGTGTGTTCAACCCACCGTGTGATCAACCCACCGTGTGTTAAACCCACCGTGTGTTAAACCCACCGTGTGTTAAACCCACCGTGTGTTCAACCCACCGTGTGTTCAACCCACCGTGTGTTCAACCCACCGTGTGTTAAGCCCACCGTGTGTTAAACCCACCGTGTGTTCAACCCACCGTGTGTTCAACCCACCGTGTGTTAAACCCACCGTGTGTTAGACCCATCGTGTGTTCAACCCACCATGTGTTCAACCCACCACGTGTTCAACCCACCGTTTGTTAAACGTACCGTGTGTTTATCCCACCGTGTGTTCAACCCACCGTGTGTAAAACCCACCGTGTGTTCAACCCACATTGTGTTAAACCTACCGTGCGTTCAACCCACCGTGTGTTCAACCCACCGTTTGTTCAACCCACCGTGTGTTAAACCCACCGTGTGTTAAACCTACAGTATGTTCAACCCATCGTGTGTTAAACCAACCGTGTGTTAAACCCACCGTGTGTTCAACCCACTGTGTGTTAAACCCACCGTGTGTTCAACCCACCGTGTGTTCAACCCACCGTGTGTTCAACCCACCGCATGTTCAACCCACCGTTTGTTAAACCTACCGTGTGTTCAACCCACCGTGTGTTCAACCCACCGTGTGTTCAACCCACCGTGTGTGAAACCCACCGTGTGTTAAACCTATCGTGTATTAAACCCACCGTGTGTTCAACCCACCGTGTGTTAAACCTACCGTGTGTTCAGCCCACCGTGTGTTAAACCCACCGTGTGTTCAACCTACCGTGTGTTCAACCCACCGTGTGTTCAACTCACCGTGTCTTAAACCTACCGTATGTTCAACCCACCGTGTGTTCAACCCACCGTGTGTTCAACCAACCGTGTGTTCAACCCACCGTGTGTTAAACCTACCGTGTGTTCAACCCACCGTGTGTTCAACCCACCGTGTGTTAAACCCACCGTGTGTTAAACCTACGGTATATTCAACCCACCGTGTGTTCAACCCACCATGTGTAAAACCTTCCGTGTGTTCAACCCACCGTGTGTTCAACCCACCGTGTGTTCAACCAACCGTGTGTTCAACCTACCGTGTGTTAAACCTACCGTGTGTTCAACCCACCGTGTGTTCAACCCACCGTGTGTTCAACCAACCGTGTGTTCAACCTACCGTGTGTTAAACCTACCGTGTGTTCAACCCACCGTGTGTTCAACCCACCGTGTGTTAAACCCCCGAGGGAAAATGGGGCGGGGTGATGGAAAGAGGGAGAATGGGGCGGGGTGATGGAAAGCGGGAGAATGGGGCGGGGTTATGGAAAGAGGGAGAATGGGGGGCGGGGTGATGGAAAGAGGTAGAATGGGGAGGGGTGATGGAAAGAGGGAGAATTGGGCGGGGTGATGGAAAGCGGGAGAATAGAGCGGGGTGATGGAAAGCGGGAGAATGGGGCGGGGTGATGGAAAGCGAGAGAATGGGGCGCGGTGATGGAAAGAGGGAGAATGGGGCGGGGTAATGGAAAGCGGGAGAATGGGGTTGGGGTGATGGAAAGAGGGAGAATGGAGCGGGGTGATGGAAAGCGGGAGAATTGGGCGGGGTGACGGAAAGTGGGAGAATGGGGCGGGGTGATGGAAAGAGGGAGAATGGGAAGGGGTGATGGAAAGCAGGAGAATGTGGCGGGGTGATGGAAAGAGGGAGAATGGGGCGGGGTGATGGAAAGAGGGAAAATGGGGAGGGGTGATAGAAAGAGGGAGAATTGGGTGGGGTGATGGAAAGCAGGAGAATGGGGCGGGGTGATGGAAAGAGGGAAAATGGGGCGGGGTGATGGAAAGCGGGAGAATGGGGCGGGGTGATGGAAAGAGGGAAAATGGGGCGGGGTGATGGAAAGCGGGAGAATGGGGCGGGGTGATGGAAAGCGGGAGAATGGGGCGGGGTAATGGAAAGGGGGAGAATGGGGCGGGGTGATGGAAAGAGGGAGAATGGGGCGGGGTGATGGAAAGCGGGAGATTAGGGCGGGGGGATGGAAAGCGTGAGAATGGGGCGGGGTGATAGAAAGAGGGAGAATGGGGAGGGGTGATAGAAAGAGGGAGAATTGGGTGGGGTGATGGAAAGCGGGAGAATGGGGAGGGGTGATAGAAAGAGGGAGAATGGGGCGAGGTGATGGAAAGCGGGAGAATGGGGCGGGGTGATAGAAAGAGGGAAAATGGGGCGGGGTGATGGAAAGCGGGAGAATGGGGCGGGGTAATGGAAAGGGGGAGAATGGGGCGGGGTGATGGAAAGAGGGAGAATGGGGCGGGGTGATGGAAAGCGGGAGAATAGGGCGGGGGGATGGAAAGCGGGAGAATGGGGAGGGGTGATGGAAATAGGGAGAATGGGGCGGGGTGATGGAAAGCGGGAGAATGGGGTTGGGGTGATGGAAAGAGAGAGAATGGAGCGGGGTGATGGAAAGCGGGAGAATGGGGCGGGGTGACGGAAAGTGGGAGAATGGGGCGGGGTGACGGAAAGAGGGAGAATGGGGAGGGGTGATGGAAAGCGGGAGAATGTGGTGGGGTGATGGAAAGAGGGAGAATGGGGCGGGGTGATGGAAAGAGGGAAAATGGAGCGGAGTGATGGAAAGCGGGAGAATGGGGCGGGGTGATAGAAAGAGGGAGAATGGGGAGGGGTGATAGAAAGAGGGAGAATTGGGCGGGGTGATGGAAAGCGGGAGAATGGGGAGGGGTGATAGAAAGAGGGAGAATGGGGCGGGGTGATGGAAAGCGGGAGAATGGGGCGGGGTGATGGAAGGAGGGAGAATGGGGCGGGGTGATGGAAAGCGGGAGAATGGGGCGGGGTGATGGAAAGCGAGAGAATGGGGCGGGGTAGTGGAAAGCGGGAGAATTGGGCGGGCTGATGGAAAGAGGGAGAATGGGGCGGGGTGATGGAAAGCGGGAGAATGGGGCGGGGTGACGGAAAGTGGGAGAATGGGGCGGGGTGATGGAAAGAGGGAGAATGGGGAGGGGTGATGGAAAGCGGGAAAATGTGGCGGGGTGATGGAAAGAGGGAGAATGGGGCGGGGTGATGGAAAGAGGGAAAATGGGGCGGGGTGATGGAAAGCGGGAGAATGGGTCGGGGTGATAGAAAGAGGGAGAATGGGGCGGGGTGATGGAGAGCGGGAGAATGGGGCGGGGTGATGGAAAGAGGGAAAATGGGGCGGGGTGATGGAAAGTGGGAGAATGGGGCGGGGTGATGGAAAGCGGGAGAATGGGGCGGGGTGATGGAAAGAGGGAGAATGGGGGGCGGGGTGATGGAAAGAGGTAGAATGGGGAGGGGTGATGGAAAGAGGGAGAATTGGGCGGGGTGATGGAAAGCGGTAGAATAGAGCGGGGTGATTGAAAGCGGGAGAATGAGGCGGGGTGATGGAAAGCGGGAGAATGGGGCGGGGTGATGGAAAGAGGGAGAATGGGGCGGGGTGATGGAAAGCGGGAGAATGGGGTTGGGGTGATGGAAAGAGGGAGAATGGAGCGGGGTGATGGAAAGCGGGAGAATGGGGCGGGGTGAGGGAAAGTGGGAGAATGGGGCGGGTTGACGGAAAGAGGGAGAATGGGGAGGGGTGATGGAAAGCGGGAGAATGTGGCGGGGTGATGGAAAGAGGGAGAATGGGGCGGGGTGATGGAAAGAGGGAAAATGGAGCGGGGTGATGGAAAGCGGGAGAATGGGGCGGGGTGATAGAAAGAGGGAGAATGGGGAGGGGTGATAGAAAGAGGGAGAATTGGGCGGGGTGATGGAAAGCGGGAGAATGGGGCGGGGTGATAGAAAGAGGGGGAATGGGGCGGGGTGATGGAAAGCGGGAGAATGGGGCGGGGTGATGGAAAGAGGGAAAATGGGGCGGGGTGATGGAAAGCGGGAGAATGGGGCGGGGTGATGGAAAACGAGAGAATGGGGCGGGGTATTGGAAAGCGGGAGAATTGGGCGGGCTGATGGAAAGAGGGAGAATGGGGCGGGGTGATGGAAAGCGGGAGAATGGGGCGGGGGGATGGAAAAGGGGAGAATGGGGAGGGGTGATAGAAAGAGGGAGAATTGGGCGGGGTGATGGAAAGCGGGAGAATGGGGAGGGGTGATAGAAAGAGGGAGAATGGGGCGGGGTGATGGAAAGCGGGAGAATGGGGCGGGGTGATGGAAAGAGAGAAAATGGGGCGGGGTGATGGAAAGCGGGAGAATGGGGCTGGGTGATAGAAAGCGGGAGAATGGGGCGGGGTGATGGAAAGCGGGAGAATGGGGCGGGGTGATGGAAAGAGGGAAAATGGGGCGGCGTAATGGAAAGCGGGAGAATAGGGCGGGGTGATGGAAAGAGAGCGAATGGGGCGGGGTGATGGAAAGAGGAAGAATGGGGCGGGGTGATGGAAAGAGGGAGAATTGGGCGGGGTGATGGAAAGAGTGAGAACGGGGAGGGGTGATGGAAAGAGGGAGAATTGGGCGGGGTGATGGAAAGCGGGAGAAAGGAGCGGGGTGATGGAAAGCGGGAGAATGGGGCGGGGTGATGGAAAGAGGGAGTATGGGGCGAGGTGATGGAAAGCGGGAGAATGGGGCGGGGTGACGGAAAGTGGGAGAATGGGGCGGGGTGATGGAAAGAGGGAGAATGGGTAGGTGTGATGGAAAGCGGGAGAATGTGGCGGGGTGATGGAAAGAGGGAGAATGGGGCGGGATGATGGAAAGAGGGAAAATGGGGTGGGGTGATGGAAAGCGGGAGAATGGGGCGGGGTGATGGAAAGAGGGAGAATGGGGAGGGGTGATAGAAAGAGGGAGAATTGGGCGGGGTGATGGAAAGCGGGAGAAGGGGGAGGGGTGATAGAAAGAGGGAGAATGGGGCGGGGTGATGGAAAGAGGGAGAATGGAGCGGGGTGATGGAAAGCGGGAGAATGGGGCGGGGTGACGGAAAGTGGGAGAATGGGGCGGGGTGATGGAAAGAGGGAGAATTGGTAGGGGTGATGGAAAGCGGGAGAATGTGGCGGGGTGATGGAAAGAGGGAGAATGGGGCGGGTTGATGGAAAGAGGGAAAATGGGGCGGGGTGATGGAAAGCGGGAGAATGGGGCGGGGTGATAGAAAGAGGGAGAATGGGGAGGGGTGATAGAAAGAGGTAGAATTGGGCGGGGTGATGGAAAGCGGGAGAAGGGGGAGGGGTGATAGAAAGAGGGAGAATGGGGCGGGGTGATGGAAAGCGGGAGAATGGGGCGGGGTGATGGAAAGAGGGAAAATGGGGCGGGGTGATGGAAAGAGGGAGAATGGGGCGGGGTGATGGAAAGCGGGAGAACGGGGCGGGGTGATGGAAAGAGGGAAAATGGGGCGGGGTGATGGAAAGCGGGAGAATGGGGAGGGGTGATAGAAAGAGGGAGAATGGGGCGGGGTGATGGAAAGCGGGAGAATGGGGCGGGGTGATGGAAAGAGGGAGAATTGGGCGGGGTGATGGAAAGAGGGAGAACGGGGAGGGGTGATGGAAAGAGGGAGAATTGGGCGGGGTGATGGAAAGCGGGAGAAAGGAGCGGGGTGATGGAAAGCGGGAGAATGGGGCGGGGTGATGGAAAGAGGAAGTATGGGGCGAGGTGATGGAAAGCGGGAGAATGGGGCGGGGTGATGGAAAGATAGAGAGTGGGGCGCGGTAATGGAAAGCGGGAGAATGGGGCGGGGTGATGGAAAGAGGGAGAATGGGGCGGGGTGATGGAAAGAGGGAGAATGGGGCGGGGTGATGGAAAGAGGGAGAATGGGGCGGGGTGATGGAAAGAGGGAGAATGGAGCGGGGTGATGGAAAGCGGGAGAATGGGGCGGGGTGATAGAAAGTGGTAGAATGGGGCGGGGTGATGGAAAGAGGGGGAATGGGGAGGGGTGATGGAAAGTGGGAGAATGTGGCGGGGTGATGGAAAGAGGGAGAATGGGGCGGGGTGATGGAAAGAGGGAAAATGGGGCGGGATGATGGAAAGCGGGAGAATGGGGAGGGGTGATAGAAAGAGGGAGAATGGGGCGGGGTGATGGAAAGCGGGAGAATGGGGCGGGGTGATGGAAAGAGGGAAAATGGGGCGGCGTGATGGAAAGCGGGAGAATGGGGCGGGGTGATAGAAAGAGGGAGAATGGGGAGGGGTGATAGAAAGAGGGCGAATTGGGCGGGGTGATGGAAAGCGGGAGAAGGGGGAGGGGTGATAGAAAGAGGGAGAATGGGGCGGGGTGATGGAAAGCGGGAGAATGGGGCGGGGTGATGGAAAGAGGGAAAATGGGGCGGGGTGATGGAAAAAGGGAGAATGGGGCGGGGTGATGGAAAGCGGGAGAATGGGGCGGGGTGATGGAAAGAGGGAAAATGGGGCGGGTTATGGAAAGCGGGAGAATGGGGAGGGGTGATAGAAAGAGGGAGAATGGGGCGGGGTGATGGAAAGCGGGAGAATGGGGCGGGGTGATGGAAAGAGGGAAAATGGGGCGGCGTGATGGAAAGCGGGAGAATGGGGCGGGGTGATGGAAAGAGAGAGAATGGGGCGGGGTGATGGAAAGAGGAAGAATGGGGCGGGGTGATGGAAAGAGGGAGAATTGGGCGGGGTGATGGAAAGAGGGAGAACGGGGAGGGGTGATGGAAAGAGGGAGAATTGGGCGGGGTGATGGAAAGTGGGAGAAAGGAGAGGGGTGATGGAAAGCGGGAGAATGGGGCAGGGTGATGGAAAGAGGGAGTATGGGGCGAGGTGATGGAAAGCGGGAGAATGGGGCGGGGTGACGGAAAGAGGGAGAATGGAGCGGGGTGATGGAAAGCGGGAGAATGGGGCGGGGTGACGGAAAGTCGGAGAATGGGGCGGGGTGATGGAAAGAGGGAGAATGGGTAGGGGTGATGGAAAGCGGGAGAATGTGGCGGGGTGATGGAAAGAGGGAGAATGGGGCGGGGTGATGGAAAGAGGGAAAATGGGGCGGGGTGATGGAAAGCGGGAGAATGGGGAGGGGTGATAGAAAGAGGGAGAATGGGGCGGGGTGATGGAAAGCGGGAGAATGGGGCGGGGTGATGGAAAGAGGGAAAATGGGGCGGCGTGATGGAAAGCGGGAGAATGGGGCGGGGTGATGGAAAGAGAGAGAATGGGGCGGGGTGATGGAAAGAGGAAGAATGGGGCGGGGTGATGGAAAGAGGGAGAATTGGGCGGGGTGATGGAAAGAGGGAGAACGGGGAGGGGTGATGGAAAGAGGGAGAATTGGGCGGGGTGATGGAAAGCGGGAGAAAGGAGCGGGGTGATGGAGAGCGGGAGAATGGGGCAGGGTGATGGAAAGAGGGAGTATGGGGCGAGGTGATGGAAAGCGGGAGAATGGGGCGGGGTGACGGAAAGAGGGAGAATGGAGCGGGGTGATGGAAAGCGGGAGAATGGGGCGGGGTGACGGAAAGTGGGAGAATGGGGCGGGGTGATGGAAAGAGGGAGAATGGGTAGGTGTGATGGAAAGCGGGAGAATGTGGCGGGGTGATGGAAAGAGGGAGAATGGGGCGGGATGATGGAAAGAGGGAAAATGGGGCGAGGTGATGGAAAGCGGGAGAATGGGGCGGGGTGATGGAAAGAGGGAGAATGGGGAGGGGTGATAGAAAGAGGGAGAATTGGGCGGGGTGATGGAAAGCGGGAGAAGGGGGAGGGGTGATAGAAAGAGGGAGAATGGGGCGGGGTGATGGAAAGCGGGAAAATGGGGCGGGGTGATGGAAAGCGGGAGAATGGGGCGGGGTGACGGAAAGGGGGAGAATGGGGCGGGGTGATGGAAAGAGGGAGAATGGGTAGGGGTGATGGAAAGCGGGAGAATGTGGCGGGGTGATGGAAAGAGGGAGAATGGGGCGGGGTGATGGAAAGAGGGAAAATGGGGCGGGGTGATGGAAAGCGGGAGAATGGGGAGGGGTGATAGAAAGAGGGAGAATGGGGCGGGGTGCTGGAAAGCGGGAGAATGGGGCGGGGTGATGGAAAGAGGGAAAATGGGGCGGCGTGATGGAAAGCGGGAGAATGGGGCGGGGTGATGGAAAGAGAGAGAATGGGGCAGGGTGATGGAAAGAGGAAGAATGGGGCGGGGTGATGGAAAGAGGGAGAATCGGGCGGGGTGATGGAAAGAGGGAGAACGGGGAGGGGTGATGGAAAGAGGGAGAATTGGGCGGGGTGATGGAAAGCGGGAGAAAGGAGCGGGGTGATGGAGAGCGGGAGAATGGGGCCGGGTGATGGAAAGAGGGAGTATGGGGCGAGGTGATGGAAAGCGGGAGAATGGGGCGGGGTGACGGAAAGAGGGAGAATGGAGCGGGGTGATGGAAAGCGGGAGAATGGGGCGGGGTGACGGAAAGTGGGAGAATGGGGCGGGGTGATGGAAAGAGGGAGAATGGGTAGGTGTGATGGAAAGCGGGAGAATGTGGCGGGGTGATGGAAAGAGGGAGAATGGGGCGGGGTGATGGAAAGAGGGAAAATGGGGCGGGGTGATGGAAAGCGGGAGAATGGGGCGGGGTGATAGAAAGAGGAAGAATGGGGAGGGGTGATAGAAAGAGGGAGAATTGGGCGGGGTGATGGAAAGCGGGAGAAGGGGGAGGGGTGATAGAAAGAGGGAGAATGGGGCGGGGTGATGGAAAGCGGGAGAATGGGGCGGGGTGATGGAAAGAGGGAAAATGGGGCAGGGTGATGGAAAGCGGGAGAATGGGGCGGGGTGATGGAAAGAGGGAAAATGGGGCGGCGTGATGGAAAGCGGGAGAATGGGGTGGGGTGATGGAAAGAGAGAGAATGGGGTGGGGTGATGGAAAGAGGAAGAATGGGGCGGGGTGATGGAAAGAGGGAGAATTGGGCGGGGTGATGGAAAGAGGGAGAACGGGGAGGGGTGATGGAAAGAGGGAGAATTGGGCGGGGTGATGGAAAGTGGGAGAAAGGAGCGGGGTAATGGAAAGCGGGAGAATGGGGCGGGGTGATGGAAAGAGGGAGAACGGGGAGGGGTGATGGAAAGAGGGAGAATTGGGCGGGGTGATGGAAAGCGGGAGAAGCGGGAGGGGTGATAGAAAGAGGGGGAATGGGGCGGGGTGATGGAAAGCGGGAGAATGGGGCGGGGTGATGGAAAGAGGGAAAATAGGGCGGGGTGATGGAAAGAGGGAGAATGGGGCGGGGTGATGGAAAGCGGGAGAATGGGGCGGGGTGATGGAAAGAGGAAGAATGGGGGGCGGGGTGATGGAAAGAGGTAGAATGGGGAGGGGTGATGGAAAGAGGGAGAATTGGGCGGGGTGATGGAAAGCGGGAGAATAGAGCGGGGTGATGGAAAGCGGGAGAATGGGGCGGGGTGATGGAAAGTGGGTGAATAGGGCGGGGGGATGGAAAAGGGGAGAATAGGGAGGGGTGATAGAAAGAGGGAGAATTGGGCGGGGTGATGGAAAGCGGGAGAATGGGGAGGGGTGATGGAAAGCGGGAGAATGGGGCGGGGTGATGGAAAGAGGGAGAATGGGGCGGGGTGATGGAAAGCGGGAGAATGGGGTTGGGGTGATGGAAAGAGGGAGAATGGAGCGGGGTGATGGAAAGCGGGAGAATGGGGCGGGGTGACGAAAAGTGGGAGAATGGGGCGGGGTGACGGAAAGAGGGAGAATTGGGAGGGGTGATGGAAAGCGGGAGAATGTGGCGGGGTGATGGAAAGAGGGAGAATGGGGCGGGGTGATGGAAAGAGGGAAAATGGAGCGGAGTGATGGAAAGCGGGAGAATGGGGCGGGGTGATAGAAAGAGGGAGAATGGGGAGGGGTGATAGAAAGAGGGAGAATTGGGCGGGGTGATGGAAAGCGGGAGAATGGGGAGGGGTGATAGAAAGAGGGAGAATGGGGCGGGGTGATGGAAAGCGGGAGAATGGGGCGGGGTGATGGAAAGAGGGAAAATGGGGCGGGGTGATGGAAAGCGGGAGAATGGGGCGGGGTGATGGAAAGCGAGAGAATGGGGCGGGGTAATGGAAAGCGGGAGAATTGGGCGGGCTGATGGAAAGAGGGAGAATGGGGCGGGGTGATGGAAAGCGGGAGAATGGGGCGGGATGACGGAAAGTGGGAGAATGGGGCAGGGTGATGGAAAGAGGGAGAATGGGGAGGGGTGATGGAAAGCGGGAAAATGTGGCGGGGTGATGGAAAGAGGGAGAATGGGGCGGGGTGATGGAAAGAGGGAAAATGGGTCGGGGTGATGGAAAGCGGGAGAATGGGGCGGGGTGATGGAAAGCGAGAGAATGGGGCGGGGTAATGGAAAGCGGGAGAATTGGGCGGGCTGATGGAAAGAGGGAGAATGGGGCGGGGTGATGGAAAGCGGGAGAATGGGGCGGGATGACGGAAAGTGGGAGAATGGGGCAGGGTGATGGAAAGAGGGAGAATGGGGAGGGGTGATGGAAAGCGGGAAAATGTGGCGGGGTGATGGAAAGAGGGAGAATGGGGCGGGGTGATGGAAAGAGGGAAAATGGGGCGGGGTGATGGAAAGCGGGAGAATGGGGCGGAGTGATAGAAAGAGGGAGAATGGGGCGGGGGATGGAGAGCGGGAGAATGGGGCGGGGTGATGGAAAGAGGGAAAAGGGGGCGGGGTGATGGAAAGAGGGAGAATGGGGCGGGGTGATGGAAAGCGGGAGAATGGGGCGGGGTGATGGAAAGAGGGAGAATGGGGGGCGGGGTGACGGAAAGAGGTAGAATGGGGAGGGGTGATGGAAAGAGGGAGAATTGGGCGGGGTGATGGAAAGCGGGAGAATAGAGCGGGGTGATTGAAAGCGGGAGAATGAGGCGGGGTGATGGAAAGCGGGAGAATGGGGCGGGGTGATGGAAAGAGGGAGAATGGGGCGGGGTGATGGAAAGCGGGAGAATGGGGTTGGGGTGATGGAAAGAGGGAGAATGGAGCGGGGTGATGGAAAGCGGGAGAATGGGGCGGGGTGACGGAAAGTGGGAGAATGGGGCGGGGTGACGGAAAGAGGGAGAATGGGGAGGGGTGATGGAAAGCGGGAGAATGTGGCGGGGTGATGGAAAGAGGGAGAATGGGGCGGGGTGATGGAAAGAGGGAAAATGGAGCGAGGTGATGGAAAGCGGGAGAATGGGGCGGGGTGATAGAAAGAGGGAGAATGGGGAGGGGTGATAGAAAGAGGGATAATTGGGCGGGGTGATGGAAAGCGGGAGAATGGGGAGGGGTGATAGAAAGAGGGAGAATGGGGCGGGGTGATAGAAAGCGGGAGAATGGGGCGGGGTGATGGAAAGAGGGAAAATGGGGCGGGGTGATGGAAAGCGGGAGAATGGGGCGGGGTGATGGAAAGCGAGAGAATGGGGCGGGGTAATGGAAAGCGGGAGAATTGGGCGGGCTGATGGAAAGAGGGAGAATGGGGCGGGGTGATGGAAAGCGGGAGAATGGGGCGGGGGGATGGAAAAGGGGAGAATGGGGAGGGGTGATAGAAAGAGGGAGAATTGGGCGGGGTGATGGAAAGCGGGAGAATGGGGAGGGGTGATAGAAAGAGGGAGAATGGGACGGGGTGATGGAAAGCGGGAGAATGGGGCGGGGTGATGGAAAGAGAGAAAATGGGGCGGGGTGATGGAAAGCGGGAGAATGGGGCGGGGTGATGGAAAGAGGGAGAATGGGGCGGGGTGATGGAAAGCGGGAGAATGGGGCTGGGTGATAGAAAGCGGGAGAATGGGGCGGGGTGATGTAAAGAGGGAGAATGGGGCTGGGTGATGGAAGGCGGGAGAATGGGGCGGGGTGATGGAAAGATAGAGAGTGGGGCGCGGTAATGGAAAGCGGGAGAATGGGGCGGGGTGATGGAAAGAGGGAGAATGGGGCGGGGTGATGGAAAGAGGGAGAATGGGGCGGGGTGATGGAAAGAGGGAGAATGGGGCGGGGTGATGGAAAGAGGGAGAATGGGGCGGGGTCATAGAAAGCGGGAGAATGGGGCGGGGTGATGGAAAGAGGGAGAATGGGGCGGGGTGATGGAAAGCGGGAGAGTGGGGCGGGGTGATGGAAAGAGGGAGAATGGGGCGGGGTGATGGAAAGAGGGAGAATGGGGCGGGGTGATGGAAAGCGGGAGAATGGGGCGGGGTGATGGAAAGCGGGCGAATGGGGGGGGTTGATGGAAAGAGGGAGAATTGGGCTGGGTGAATGAAAGCGGGAGAATGGAGCGGGGTGATAGAACGCAGGAGAATGGGGCGGGGTGATGGAAAGAGGGAAAATGGGGCGGGGTTATGGAAAGCGGGAGAATGGGGCGGGGTGATGGAAAGAGGGAGATTGGGGTTGGGTGATGGAAAGCGGGAGAATGGGGCGGGGTGATGGAAAGAGGGAGAGTGGGGGGCGGGGTGATGGAAAGAGGTAGAATGGGGAGGGGTGATGGAAAGAGGGAGAATTGGGCGGGGTGATGGAAAGCGGGAGAATAGAGCGGGTGATGGAAAGCGGGAGAATGGGGCGGGGTGATGGAAAGCGGGAGAATGGGGAGGGGTGATAGAAAGAGGGAGAATGGGGCGGGGTGATAGAAAGAGGGATAATTGGGCGGGGTGATGGAAAGCGGGAGAATGGGGAGGGGTGATAGAAAGAGGGAGAATAGGGCGGGGTGATGGAAAGCGGGAGAATGGGGCGGGGTGATGGAAAAAGGGAAAATGGGGAGGGGTGATGGAAAGCGGGAGAGTGGGGCGGGGTGATGGAAAGCGGGAGAATGGGGCGGGGTCATGGAAAGCGGGAGAATGGGGCGGGGTGATGGAAAGAGGGAGAATGGGGGGGGGGGGGGTGATGGAAAGCGGGAGAATGCGGCGGGGTGATGGAAAAAGGGAGAATGGGGAGGGGTTATAGAAAGAGGGAGAATTGGGCGGGGTGATGGAAAGCGGGAGAATGGGGAGGGGTGATAGAAAGAGGGAGAATGGGGCAGGGTGATGGAAAGCGGGAGAATGGGTCGGAGTGATGGAAAAGGGAAAATGGGGCGGGGTGATGGAAAGCGGGAGAATGGGGCGGGGTGATGGAAAGAGGGAGAATGGGGCGGGATGATGGAAAGCGGGAGAATGGGGCGGGGTGATAGAAAGCGGGACAATGGGGCGGGGTGATCCAAAGAGGGAGAATGGGGCTGGGTGATGGAAGGAGGGAGAATGGGGCGGGATGATGGAAAGATGGAGAGTAGGGCGCGGAAATGGAAAGCGGGAGAATGGGGCGGAGTGATGGAAAGAGGGAGAATGGGGCGGGGTGATGGAAAGAGGGAGAATGGGGCGGGGTGATGGAAAGAGTGAGAATGGGGCGGGGTGATGGAAAGAGGGAGAATGGGGCGGGGTGATGGAAAGAGGGAGAATGGGGTGGGGTGATGGAAAACGGGAGAATGGGGCGGGGTGATGGAAACAGGGAGAAAGGGGCGGGATGGTGGAAAGAGGGAGAATGGGGCGGGGTGATGGAAAGCGGGAGAATGGGGCGGGGTGATGGAAAGAGGGAGAATGGGGCGGGGTGATGGAAAGCGGGAGAATGGGGCGGGGTGATGGAAAGAGGGAGAATGGGGAGGGGTGATGGAAAGAGGGAGAATTGGGCGGGGTGATGGAAAGGGGGAGAATGGAGCAGGATGATGGAAAGCGGGAGAATGGGGCAGGGTGATGGAAAGAGGGAGAATGGGGCGGGGTGATAGAAAGCGGGAGAATGGGGCAGGGTGATGGAAAGAGGGAGAATGGGGCAGGGTGATGGAAGGAGGGAGAATGGGGCGCGGTGATGGAGGGAGGGAGAATGGGGCGGGGTGATGGAAAGCGGGAGAATGGGGCGGGGTGATGGAAAGAGGGAGAATGGGGCGGGGTGATGGAAAGCGGGAGAATGGGGCGGGGTGATGGAAAGAGGGAGAATGGGGAGGGGTGATGGAAAGAGGGAGAATTGGGCGGGGTGATGGAAAGGGGGAGAATGGAGCGGGATGATGGAAAGCGGGAGAATGGGGCAGGGTGATGGAAAGAGGGAGAATGGGGCGGGGTGATAGAAAGCGGGAGAATGGGGCAGGGTGATGGAAAGAGGGAGAATGGGGCAGGGTCATGGAAGGAGGGAGAATGGGGCGCGGTGATGGAGGGAGGGAGAATGGGGCGGGGTGATGGAAAGCGGGAGAATGGGGTGGGCTGATGGAAAGCGGGAGAATAGAGCGGGGTGATTGAAAGCGGGAGAATGAGGCGGGGTGATGGAAAGCGGTAGAATGGGGCAGGGTGATGGAAGGAGGGAGAATGGGGCGGGGTGATGGAAAGCGGGAGAATGGGGCGTGGTGATGGAAAGCGGGAGAATGGGGCGGGGTGATGGAAAGCGGGAGAATGGAGCGGGGTGATGGAAAGCGGGAGAATGGGGCGGGGTGATGGAAGGAGGTAGAATGAGGCGGGGTGATGGAAGGAGAAGAATGGGGCGGGGTGATGGAAAGCAGGAGAATGGGGCAGGGTGATGGAAAGCGGGAGAATGGGGCGGAGTGATGGAAAGCGGGAGAATGGGGCGGGGTGATGGAAAGCGGGAGAATGGGGCGTGGTGATGGAAAGCGGGAGAATGGGGCGAGGTGATGGGAGAATGGGGCGGGGTGATGGAAAGCGGGAGAATGGGGCGGGGTGATGGAAAGCGGGAGAATGGGGCGGTGTGATGGAAAGCGGGTGAATGGGGTGGGCTGATGGAAAGCGGGAGAATGGGGCCGGGTGATGTAAGGAGGGAGAATGGGGCGGGGTGATGGAAAGCGGGAGAATAGGGCGGGGTGATGGAAAGTGGGAGAATGGGGCGGGGTGATGAAAAGCGGGAGCATGGGGCGGGGTGATGGAAGGAGGTAGAATGAGGCGGGGTGATGGAAGGAGGGAGAATGGGGCGGGGTGATGGAAAGCGGGAGAATGGGGCGGGGTGATGGAAGGAGGGAGAATGGGGCGTGGTGATGGAAAGCGGGAGAATGGGGCGGGGTGATGGAAAGCGGGAGAATGGGACGGGGTGATGGAAAGCGGGAGAATGGGGCGGGGTGATGGAAAGCCGGAGAATGGGGCGGGGTGATGGAAAGCGGGAGAATGGGGCGGGGTGATGGAAAGCGGGAGAATGGGGCGGGGTGATGGAAGGAGGGAGAATAAGGCGGGGTGATGGAAGGAGGGAGAATGGGGCGGGTTGATGGAAAACGGGAGAATGGGGCGGGGTGATGGAAAGCGGGAGAATGGGACAGAGTGATGGAAAGCGGGAGAATGGGGCGAGGTGATGGAAAGCGGGAGAATGGGGCGGGGTGATGGAAAGCAGGAGAACGGGGCGGGGTGTTGGAAAGCGGGAGAATGGGGCGGGGTGATGAAAAGCGGGAGGATGGGGCGGGGTGATGGAAAGCGGGAGAATGGGGCGGGGTGATGGAAAGCGGGAGAATGGGGCGGGGTGATGGAAAGCGGGAGAATGGGGTGGGGTGATGGAAAGCGGGTGAATGGGGCGGGGTGATGGAAAGGAGAAGAATTGGGCGGGGTGATGGAAAGCGGGAGAATGGGGCGAGGTGATGGGAAGCAGGAGAATGGGGCGGGGTGATGGAAGGAGGTAGAATGAGGCGGGGTGATGGAAGGAGGGAGAATGGGCAGGGTGATGGAAAGCGGGAGAATGGGGCGGGGTGATGGAAAGCGGGAGAATGGGGTGGGCTGATGGAAAGCGGGAGAATGGGGCAGGGTGATGGAAAGCGGGAGAATGGGGCGGGGTGATGGAAAGCGGGAGAATGGGGCGGGGTGATGGAAAGCGGGAGAATGGGGCGGGCCGATGGAAAGTGGGAGAATGGGGCGGGGTGATGGAAGGAGGGAGAATGGGGCAGAGTGATGGAAGGAGGGAGAATGGGGCGGGTGATGAAAGGAGGGAGAATGGGGCGGGGTTATGGAAAGCGGGAGAATGGGGCGGGGTGATGGAAAGCGGGAGAATGGGGCGGGGTGATGGAAGGAGAAGAATGGGGCGGGGTGATGGAAAGCAGGAGAATGGGGCAGGGTGATGGAAAGCGGGAGAATGGGGCGGAGTGATGGAAAGCGGGAGAATGGGGCGGGGTGATGGAAAGCGGGAGAATGGGGCGTGGTGATGGAAAGCGGGAGAATGGGGCGAGGTGATGGGAGAATGGGGCGGGGTGATGGAAAGCGGGAGAATGGGGCGGGGTGATGGAAAGCGGGAGAATGGGGCGGTGTGATGGAAAGCGGGTGAATGGGGTGGGCTGATGGAAAGCGGGAGAATGGGGCCGGGTGATGTAAGGAGGGAGAATGGGGCGGGGTGATGGAAAGCGGGAGAATAGGGCGGGGTGATGGAAAGTGGGAGAATGGGGCGGGGTGATGAAAAGCGGGAGCATGGGGAGGGGTGATGGAAGGAGGTAGAATGAGGCGGGGTGATGGAAGGAGGGAGAATGGGGCGGGGTGATGGAAAGCGGGAGAATGGGGCGGGGTGATGGAAGGAGGGAGAATGGGGCGTGGTGATGGAAAGCGGGAGAATGGGGCGGGGTGATGGAAAGCGGGAGAATGGGACGGGGTGATGGAAAGCGGGAGAATGGGGCGGGGTGATGGAAAGCCGGAGAATGGGGCGGGGTGATGGAAAGCGGGAGAATGGGGCGGGGTGATGGAAAGCGGGAGAATGGGGCGGGGTGATGGAAGGAGGGAGAATAAGGCGGGGTGATGGAAGGAGGGAGAATGGGGCGGGTTGATGGAAAACGGGAGAATGGGGCGGGGTGATGGAAAGCGGGAGAATGGGACGGAGTGATGGAAAGCGGGAGAATGGGGCGAGGTGATGGAAAGCGGGAGAATGGGGCGGGGTGATGGAAAGCAGGAGAACGGGGCGGGGTGTTGGAAAGCGGGAGAATGGGGCGGGGTGATGAAAAGCGGGAGGATGGGGCGGGGTGATGGAAAGCGGGAGAATGGGGCGGGGTGATGGAAAGCGGGAGAATGGGGCGGGGTGATGGAAAGCGGGAGAATGGGGTGGGGTGATGGAAAGCGGGTGAATGGGGCGGGGTGATGGAAAGGAGAAGAATTGGGCGGGGTGATGGAAAGCGGGAGAATGGGGCGAGGTGATGGAAAGCAGGAGAATGGGGCGGGGTGATGGAAGGAGGTAGAATGAGGCGGGGTGATGGAAGGAGGGAGAATGGGGCAGGGTGATGGAAAGCGGGAGAATGGGGCGGGGTGATGGAAAGCGGGAGAATGGGGTGGGCTGATGGAAAGCGGGAGAATGGGGCAGGGTGATGGAAAGCGGGAGAATGGGGCGGGGTGATGGAAAGCGGGAGAATGGGGCGGGGTGATGGAAAGCGGGAGAATGGGGCGGGCCGATGGAAAGTGGGAGAATGGGGCGGGGTGATGGAAGGAGGGAGAATGGGGCAGAGTGATGGAAGGAGGGAGAATGGGGCGGGTGATGAAAGGAGGGAGAATGGGGCGGGGTTATGGAAAGCGGGAGAATGGGGCGGGGTGATGGAAAGCGGGAGAATGGGGCGGGGTGATGGAAGGAGGGAGAATGGGGCGGGGTGATGGAAAGCAGGAGATTGGGGCAGGGTGATGGAAAGCGGGAGAATGGGGCGGGGTGATGGAAAGCGGGAAAATGGGGCGGGGTGATGGAAAACGTGAGAATGGGGCAGGGTGATGGAAAGCGGGAGAATGGGGCGGGGTGATGGAAGGAGGGAGAATGAGGCAGGGTGATGGAAGGAGGGAGAATGGGGCGGGGTGATGGAAAGTGGGAGAATGGGTCGGGGTGATGGAAAGCGGGAGAATGGGGCGGAGTGATGGAAAGCGGGAGAATTGGGCGGGGTGATGGAAAGCGGGAGAATGGAGCGGGGTGATGGAAAGCGGGAGAATGGGGCGGGGTGATGGAAAGCGGGAGAATGGGGCGGGTGATGGAAAGCTGGTGAATGGGGCAGGGTGATGGAAAGCGGGAGAATGGGGCGGGGTGATGGAAAGCAAAAGAATGGGGTGGGGTGATGGAAAGCGGGAGAATGGGGCGAGGTGATGGTAAGCGGGAGAATGGGGCGGGTGATGGAAAGCGGAAGAATGGGGCGGGGTGATGGAAGGAGGGAGAATGGGGCAGGGTGATGGAAGGAGAGAGAAGGGGGCGGGATGATGGAAAGTGGGAAAATGTGGCGGGGTGATGGAAAGCGGGAGAATGGGGTGGGGTTATGGGAAGCGGTAGAATGAGGCGGGGTGATGGAAAGCGGGAGAATGGAGCGGGGTGATGGAATGAGGGAGAATGGGGAAGGGTGATGGAATGAGGGAGAATGGGGCTGGGTGATAGAAAGCGGGAGAATGGGGCGGGGTGATGGAAGAAGGGAGAATGGGGCGGGGTGATGGAAAGCGGGAGAATGGGGCGGGGTGATGGAAAGCGGGAGAACGGGGCGGGGTGATGGAAAGCGAGAGAATGGGGCGGGGTGATGGAAGGAGGGAGAATGGGGAGGGGTGATGGAAAGCGGGGGAATGGGGCGGGATGATGGGAAGCGGAAGAATGGGGCGGGGTGATGGAAAGCAGGAGAATGGGGCGGGGTGATGGAAAGCGGGAGAATGGGGCGGGGAGATGGAAAGCGGGAGAAAGGGGAGGGGTGATGGAGAGCGGGAGAATGGGGCGGGCTGATGAAAAGCGGGAGAATGGGGCGGGGTGATGGAAGGAGGGAGAATGGGGCGGGGTGATGGAAGGAGAGAGAAGGGGGCGGGGTGATGGAAAGTGGGAGAATTTGGCGGGGTGATGGAAAGCGGGAGAATGGGGTGGGGTTATGGGAAGCGGGAGAATGGGGCGGGGTGATGGAAAGCGGGAGAATGGGGCGGCGTGATGGAAGGAGGGAGAATGGGGCGGGGTGATGGAAGGAGGGAGAATGGGGCGGAGTGATGGAAAGCGGGAGAATGGGGCGGGTTGATGGAAGGAGGGAGAATGGGGCGGGATGATGGAATGCGGGAGAATGGGGCGGGGTGATGGAAAGCGGGAGAATGGGGCGGGGTGATGGAAAGCGGGAGAATGGGGCGGGGTGACGGAAATCAGGAGAATGGGGCGGGGTGATGGAAAGCGGGAGAATGGGGCGGGGTGATGGAAGGAGGGAGAATGGGGCGGGGTGATGGAAAGCGGGAGAATGGGGCGGGGTGATGGAAGGAGGGAGAATGGGGCGGGGTGATGGAAAGCGGGAGATTGGGGCAGGGTGATGGAAAGCGGGAGAATGGGGCGGGGTGATGGAAAGAGGAAAAATGGGGCGGGGTGATGGAAAGCGGGAGAATGGGGCTAAGTGATGGAAAGCGGGAGAATGGGGCGGGGTGATGGAAAGCGGGAGAATGGGGCGGGGTGATGGAAGGAGGGAGAATGAGGCGGGGTGATGGACGAAGGGAGAATGGGGCGGGGTGATGGAAAGTGGGAGAATGGGTCGGGGTGATGGAAAGCGGGAGAATGGGGCGGAGTGATGGAAAGCGGGAGAATGGGGCGGGGTGATGGAAAGCGGGAGAATGGGGCAGGGTGATGCAAAGCGGGAGAATGGGGCGGGGTGATGGAAAGTGGGAGAAAGGGGCGGGGTGATGGACAGCGGGAGAATGGGGCGGGCTGATGGAAAGCGGGAGAATGGGGCGGGGTGATGGAAGGAGGGAGAATGGGGCGGGGTGATGGAAGAAGAAAGAAGGGGGCGGGGTGATGGAAAGTGGGAAAATGTGGCGGGGTGATGGAAAGCGGGAGAATGGGGTGGGGTTATGGGAAGCGGGAGAATAGGGCGGGGTGATGGAAAGCGGGAGAATGGAGCGGGGTGATGGAATGAGGGAGAATGGGGCGGGGTGATGGAAAGCGGGAGAATGGGGCGGGGTGATGGAAAGCGAGAGAATGGGGCGGGGTGACGGAAGGAGGAAGAAAGGGGAGGGGTGATGGAAAGCGGGGGAATGGGGCGGGATGATGGGAAGCGGAAGAATGGGGCGGGGTGATGGAAAGCGGGAGAATGGGGCGGGGTGATGGAAAGCGGGAGAATGGGGCGGGGAGATGGAAAGCGGGAGAAAGGGGAGGGGTGATGGAAAGCGGGAGAATGGGGCGGGCTGATGGAAAGCGGGAGAATGGGGCGGGGTGATGGAAGGAGGGAGAATGGGGCGGGGTGATGGAAGGAGAGAGAAGGGGGCGGGGTGATGGAAAGTGGGAGAATGTGGGGGGTGATGGAAAGCGGGAGAATGGGGTGGGGTTATGGGAAGCGGGAGAATGGGGCGGGGTGGTGGAAAGCGGGAGAATGGGGCGGGGTGATGGAAGGAGGGAGAATGGGGCGGGGTGATGGAAGGAGGGAGAATGGGGCGGAGTGATGGAAAGCGGGAGAATGGGGCGGGGTGATGGAAGGAGGGAGAATGGGGCGGGATGATGGAAAGCCGGAGAAAGGGGCGGGGTGATGGAAAGCGGGAGAATGGGGCGGGGTGATGGAAAGCGGGAGAATGGGGCGGGGTGATTGAAATCGGGAGAATGGGGCGGGGTGATGGAAAGCGGGAGAATGGGGCGGGGTGATAGAAGGAGGGAGAATGGGGCGGGGTTATAGAAAGCGGGAGAATTTGGCGGGGTGATGGAAAGCGGGAGAAGGGGGTGGGGTTATGGGAAGCGGGAGAACAGGGCGGGGTGATGGAAAGCCGGAGAATGGGGCGGGGTGACGGAAAGCGGGAGAATGGGGCGGGGTGATGGAAATCGGGAGAATGGGGCGGGGTGATGGAAAGCGGGAGAATGGGGCGGGGTGATAGAAGGAAGGAGAATTGGGCGGGGTGATAGAAAGCGGGAGAATGTGGCGGGGTGATGGAAAGCGGGAGAAGGGGGTGGGGTTATGGGAAGCGGGAGAACAGGGCGGGGTGATGGAAAGCAGGAGAATGGGGCGGGGTGATGGAAAGCGGGAGAATGGGTCGGGGTGATGGAAAGCGGGAGAATGGGGCGGGGTGATGGAAAGCGGGAGAATGGGGCGGGGTGATGGAAAGCGGGAGAATGGGGCGGGGTGACGGAAATCGGGAGAATGGGGCAGGGTGATGGAAAGCGGGAGAATGGGGCGGGGTGATGGAAGGCGGGAGAATGGGGCGGGGTGATAGAAAACGGGAAAATGTGGTGGGGTGATGGAAAGCGGGAGAATGGGGTGGGGTTATGGGAAGCGGGAGAGTTGGGCGGGGTGATGGAAAGCGGGAGAATGGGGCGGGGTGATGGAAGGAGGGAGAATGGGGCGGGGTGATGGAAAGCGGGAGAATGGGGTGGGGTGATGGAAAGCGGGAGAATGGGGCGGGGTGATGGAAAGCGGGAGAATGGGGCTGGGTGATGGAAAGCGGGAGAATGGGGCGGGGTGATGGAAAGCGGGAGAATGGAGCGGGGTGATGGAAGGAGGGAGAATGGGGCGGGGTGATGGAAAGCGGGAGATTGGGGCAGGGTGATGGAAAGCGGGAGAATGGGGCGGGGTGATGGAAAGAGGAAAAATGGGGTGGGGTGATGGAAAGCGGGAGAATGGGGCTAAGTGATGGAAAGCGGGAGAATGGGGCGGGGTGATGGAAAGCGGGAGAATGGGGCGGGGTGATGGAAAGCGGGAGAATGGGGTGGGCTGATGGAAAGCGGGAGAATGGGGCAGGGTGATGGAAGGAGGGAGAATGGGGCGGGGTGATGGAAGGAGGGAGAATGGGGCGGGTGATGGAAGGAGGGAGAATGAGGCGGGGATATGGAAAGCGGGAGAATGGGGCGGGGTGATGGAAAGCGGGAGAATGGGGCGGGGTGATGGAAGGAGGGAGAATGGGGCGGGGTGATGGAAAGCGGGAGATTGGGGCATGGTGATGGAAAGCGTGAGAATGGGGCGGGGTGATAGAAAGCGGGAAAATAAGGCAGGGTGATGGAAAGTGGGAGAATGGGGCTGGGTGATGGAAAGCGGGAGAATGGGGCGGGGTGATGGAAAGCGGGAGAATGGGGGGGGGTGATGGAAGGAGGGAGAATGAGGCGGAGTGATGGAAGGAGGGAGAATGGGGCGGGGTGATGGAAAGCGGGAGAATGGGGCGGAGTGATGGAAAGCGGGAGAATGGAGCGGGGTGATGGAAAGCAGGAGAATGGGGCGGGTGATGGAAAGCGGGTGAATGGGGCGGGGTGATGGAATGCAGGAGAATGGGGCGGGGTGATGGAAAGCGAAAGAATAGGGCGGGGTGATGGAAAGCGGGAGATGGGGCGAGGTGATGGAAAGCGGGAGAATGGGGCGGGTAATGGAAAGCTGGAGAATGGGGCGGGGTGATAGAAGGAGGGAGAATGGGGAGGGGTGATGGAAAGCGGGGGAATGGGGCGGGATGATGGGAAGCGGGAGAATGGGGCGGGGTGATGGAAAGCGGGAGAATGGGGCGGGTTGATGGAAAGCGGGAGAATGGGGCAGGGAGATGGAAAGCGGGAGAAAGGGGCGGGCTGATGGAAAGCGGGAGAATGGGGCGGGTTGATGGAAGGAGGGAGAATGGGGCGGGGTGATGGAAGGATGGAGAAGGGGGCGGCGTGATGGAAAGCGGCAGAATGGGGCGGGGTGATGGAAAGCGGGAGAATGGGGCGGGGTGATGGAAGGATGGAGAATGGGGCGGGGTGATGGAAAGCGGGAGAATGTGGCGGGGTGATGGAAAGCGGGAGAATGAGGTGGGGTTATGGGAAGCGGGAGAATGGGGCGGGGTGATGGAAAGCGGGAGAATGGGGCGGGGTGATGGAAGGAGGGAGAATAGGGCGGGGTGATGGAAAGCGGGAGAATGGGGCGGGGTGATGGAAGGAGGGAGAATGGGGCGGGGTGATGGAAAGCGGGAGAATGGGGCGGGGTGATGGAAAGCAGGAGAATGGGGCGCGGTGATCGAAAGCGGGAGAATGGGGCGGTGTGATGGAAAGCGGGAGCATGGGGCGGGGTGATGGAAGGAGGTAGAATGAGGCGGGGTCATGGAAGGAGGGAGAATGGGGCGGGGAGATGGAAAGCGGGAGAACGGGGTGGGCTGATGGAAAGCAGGAGAATGGGGCGGGGTGATGGAAGGAGGGAGAATGGGGCCGGGTGATGGAAAGCGGTAGAATGGGGCGGGGTGATGGAAAACGGGAGCATGGGGCGGGGTGATGGAAGGAGGTGGAATGAGGCGGGGTGATGGAAGGAGGGAGAATGGGGCAGGGAGATGGAAAGCGGGAGAATGGGGCGGGGTGATGGAAAGCGGGAGAATGGGGCGGGGTGATGGAAAGCGGGAGAATGGGGTGGGGTGATCGAAAGCGGGAGAATGGGGCGGGGTGATGGAAAGCGGGAGAATGGGGCGGGGTGATGGAAGGCGGGAGAATGGGGCGGGGTGATGGAAAGCGGGAGAATGGGTCGGGCTGATGGAAAGCGGGAGAATAGGGGGGGGTGATGGAAGGAGGGAGAAAGGGGCGGGGTGATGGAAGGAGGGAGAACGGGGCGGGTGATGGAAGGAGGGAGAATGGGGCGGGGTTATGGAAAGCGGGAGAATGGGGCGGGGTGATGGAAAGCGGGAGAATGGGGCGGGGTGATGGAAGGAGGGAGAATGGGGCGGGGTGATGGAAAGCGGGAGATTAGGGCAGGGTGATGGAAAGCGTGAGAATGGGGCAGGGTGATAGAAAGCGGGAAAATGGGGCGGGGTGATGGAAAGTGGGAGAATGGGGCTGGGTGATGGAAAGCGGGAGAATGGGGTGGGGTGATGGAAAGCGGGAGAATGGGGCGGGGTGATGGAAGCAGGGAGAATGAGGCGGGGTGATGGAAGGAGGGAGAATGGGGCGGGGTGATGGAAAGCAGGAGAATGGGGCGGGGTGATGGAAAGCAGGAGAATGGGGCGGGGTGTTTGAAAGCATGAGAATGGGGCGGGGTGATGAAAAGCGGGAGAATGGGGCGGGATGATGGAAAGTGGGAGAAAGGGGCGGGGTGATGGAAAGCGGGAGAATGGGGCGGGTGATGGAAAGCGGATGAATGGGGCTGGGTGATGGAAAGCAGGAGAATGGGGCGGGGTGATGGAAAGCGGAAGAATGGGGCGTGTAATGGAAAGCGGGAGAATGGGGCGGGTTGATGGAAGGAGGGAGAATGGGGAGGGGTGATGGAAAGCGGGGGAATGGGGCGGGATGATGGGAAGCGGGAGAATGGGGCGTGGTGATGGAAAGCGGGAGAATGGGGCGGGGTGATGGAAAGCGGGAGAATGGGGCAGGGAGATGGAAAGCGGGAGAAAGGGGCGGGGTGATAAAAAGCGGGGGAATGGGGCGGGTTGATGGAAAGCGGGAGAATGGGGCGGGGTGATGGAAGGAGGGAGAATGGGGCGGGGTGATGGAAGGAGGGAGAAGGGGGCAGGGTGATGGAAAGCGGAAGAATGGCGCGGGGTGATGGAAAGCGGGAGAATGGGGCAGGGTGATGGAAAGCGGGAGAATGGGGCGGGGTGATGGAAAGCGGGAGAATGGTGCGGGGTGATGGAAAGCGGAGAAATGGGGCAGGGTGATGGAAAGCGGGAGAATGGGGCGAGGTGAAGGAAGGAGGGAGAATGGGGCGGGGTGATGGAAGGAGGAAGAAGGGGGCGGGGTGATGGAAAGCGAGAGAATGGGCCGGGGTGTTGGAAAGCGGGAGAATGGGGCGGGGTGATGAAAAGCGGGAGAATGGGGCGGGGTGATGGAAAGCGGGAGAATGGGGCGGTGTGATGGAAAGCGGGAGAATGGGGCGGGTGATGGAAAGCAGGTGAATGGGGCAGGGTGATGGAAAGCGGGAGAAAGGGGCGGGGTGATGGAAAGTGGGAGAATGGGGCTGGGTGATGGAAAGCGGGAGAATGGGGCGGGGTGATGGAAAGCGGGAGAATGGGGGGGGGTGATGGAAGGAGGGAGAATGAGGCGGAGTGATGGAAGGAGGGAGAATGGGGCGGGGTGATGGAAAGCTGGAGAATGGGGCGGGGTGATGGAAAGCGGGAGAATGGGGCGGAGTGATGGAAAGCGGGAGAATGAAGCGGGGTGATGGAAAGCAGGAGAATGGGGCGGGTGATGGAAAGCGGGTGAATGGGGCGGGGTGATGGAATGCAGGAGAATGGGGCGGGGTGAAGGAAAGCGAAAGAATAGGGCGGGGTGATGGAAAGCGGGAGATGGGGCGAGGTGATGGAAAGCGGGAGAATGGGGCGGGTAATGGAAAGCTGGAGAATGGGGCGGGGTGATAGAAGGAGGGAGAATGGGGAGGGGTGATGGAAAGCGGGGGAATGGGGCGGGATGATGGGAAGCGGGAGAATGGGGCGGGGTGATGGAAAGCGGGAGAATGGGGCAGGGAGATGGAAAGCGCGAGAAAGGGGCGGGCTGATGGAAAGCGGGAGAATGGGGCGGGGTGATGGAAGGAGGGAGAATGGGGCGGGTGATGGAAGGAGGGAGAAGGGGGCAGCGTGATGGAAAGCGGCAGAATGGGGCGGGGTGATGGAAAGCGGGAGAATGGGGCGGGGTGATGGAAGGATGGAGAATGGGGCGGGGTGATGGAAAGCGGGAGAATGTGGCGGGGTGATGGAAAGCGGGAGAATGAGGTGGGGTTATGGGAAGCGGGAGAATGGGGCGGGGTGATGGAAAGCGGGAGAATGGGGCGGGGTGATGGAAGGAGGGAGAATAGCGCGGGGTGATGGAAAGCGGGAGAATGGGCGGGGTGATGGAAGGAGGGAGAATGGGGCGGGGTGATGGAAAGCGGGAGAATGGGGCGGGGTGATGGAAAGCAGGAGAATGGGGCGCGGTGATCGAAAGCGGGAGAATGGGGCGGTGTGATGGAAAGCGGGAGCATGGGGCGGGGTGATGGAAGGAGGTAGAATGAGGCGGGGTGATGGAAGGAGGGAGAATGGGGCGGGGAGATGGAAAGCGGGAGAATGGGGTGGGCTGATGGAAAGCAGGAGAATTGGGCGGGGTGATGGAAGGAGGGAGAATGGGGCCGGGTGATGGAAAGCGGTAGAATGGGGCGGGATGATGGAAAGCGGGAGCATGGGGCGGGGTGATGGAAGGAGGTAGAATGAGGCGGGGTGATGGAAGGAGGGAGAATGGGGCGGGGAGATGGAAAGTGGGAGAATGGGGCGGGGTGATGGAAAGCGGGAGAATGGGGCGGGGTGATGGAAAGCGGGAGAATGGGGTGGGGTGATCGAAAGCGGGAGAATGGGGCGGGGTGATGGAAAGCGGGAGAATGGGGCGGGGTGATGGAAGACGGGAGAATGGGGCGGGGTGATGGAAAGCGGGAGAATGGCGCGGGCTGATGGAAAGCGGGAGAATAGGGCGGGGTGATGGAAGGAGGGAGAAAGGGGCGGGGTGATGGAAGGAGGGAGAACGGGGCGGGTGATGGAAGGAGGGAGAAAGGGGCGGGGTTATGGAAAGCGGGAGAATGGGGCGGGGTGATGGAAAGCGGGAGATTAGGGCAGGGTGATGGAAAGCGTGAGAATGGGGCAGGGTGATAGAAAGCGGGAAAATGGGGCGGGGTGATGGAAAGTGGGAGAATGGGGCTGGGTGATGGAAAGCGGGAGAATGGGGTGGGGTGATGGAAAGCGGGAGAATGGGGCGGGGTGATGGAAGCAGGGAGAATGAGGCGGGGTGATGGAAGGAGGGAGAATGGGGCGGGGTGATGGAAAGCGGGAGAATGGGGCGGGGTGATGGAAAGCGGGAGAATGGGGCGGGGTGTTGGAAAGCATGAGAATGGGGCGGGGTGATGAAAAGCGGGAGAATGGGGCGGAGTGATGGAAAGTGGGAGAATGGGGCGGGGTGATGGAAAGCGGGAGAATGGGGCGGGTGATGGAAAGCGGGTGAATGGGGCTGGGTGATGGAAAGCAGGAGAATGGGGCGGGGTGATGGAAAGCGGAAGAATGGGGCGTGTAATGGAAAGCGGGAGAATGGGGCGGGGTGATGGAAAGAGGGAGAATGGGGAGGGGTGATGGAAAGCGGGAGAATGGGGCGGGGTGATGGAAGGAGGGAGAATGGGGCGGGGTGATGGAAAGCGGGAGATTAGGGCAGGGTGATGGAAAGAGTTAGAATGGGGCAGGGTGATAGAAAGCGGGAAAATGGGGCGGGGTGATGGAAAGTGGGAGAATGGGGCTGGGTGATGGAAAGCGGGAGAATGGGGTGGGGTGATGGAAAGCGGGAGAATGGGGCGGGGTGATGGAAGCAGGGAGAATGAGGCGGGGTGATGGAAGGAGGGAGAATGGGGCGGGGTGATGGAAAGCAGGAGAATGGGGCGGGGTGATGGAAAGCAGGAGAATGGGGCGGGGTGTTGGAAAGCATGAGAATGGGGCGGGGTGATGAAAAGCGGGAGAATGGGGCGGGGTGATGGAAAGTGGGAGAATGGGGCGGGGTGATGGAAAGCGGGAGAATGGGGCGGGTGATGGAAAGCGGGTGAATGGGGCTGGGTGATGGAAAACAGGAGAATGGGGCGGGGTGATGGAAAGCGGAAGAATGGGGCGTGTAATGGAAAGCGGGAGAATGGGGCGGGGTGATGGAAGGAGGGAGAATGGGGAGGGGTGATGAAAAGCGGGGGAATGGGGCGGGATGATGGGAAGCGGGAGAATGGGGCGTGGTGATGGAAAGCGGGAGAATGGGGCGGGGTGATGGAAAGCGGGAGAATGGGGCAGGGAGATGGAAAGCGGGAGAAAGGGGCGGGGTGATGGAAAGTGGGAGAATGGGGCGGGCTGATGGAAAGCGGGAGAATGGGGCGGGGTGATGGAAGGAGGGAGAATGGGGCGGGGTGATGGAAGGAGGGAGAAGGGGGCAGGGTGATGGAAAGCGGAAGAATGGCGCGGGGTGAAGGAAAGCGGGAGAATTTGGCAGGGTGATGGAAAGCGGGAGAATGGGGCGGGGTGATGGAAAGCGGGAGAATGGTGCGGGGTGATGGAAAGCGGAGGAATGGGGCAGGGTGATGGAAAGCGGGAGAATGGGGCGGGGTGAAGGAAGGAGGGAGAATGGGGCGGGGTGATGGAAGGAGGAAGAAGGGGGCGGGGTGATGGAAAGCGAGAGAATGGGCCGGGGTGTTGGAAAGCGGGAGAATGGGGTGGGGTGATGAAAAGCGGGAGAATGGGGCGGGGTGATGGAAAGCGGGAGAATGGGGCGGTGTGATGGAAAGCGGGAGAATGGGGCGGGTGATGGAAAGCAGGTGAATGGGGCAGGGTGATGGAAAGCGGGAGAAAGGGGCGGGGTGATGGAAAGTGGGAGAATGGGGCTGGGTGATGGAAAGCGGGAGAATGGGGCGGGGTGATGGAAAGCGGGAGAATGGGGGGGGGGTGATGGAAGGAGGGAGAATGAGGCGGAGTGATGGAAGGAGGGAGAATGGGGCGGGGTGATGGAAAGCAGGAGAATGGGGCGGGGTGATGGAAAGCGGGAGAATGGGGTGGAGTGATGGAAAGCGGGAGAATTAAGCGGGGTGATGGAAAGCAGGAGAATGGGGCGGGTGATGGAAAGCGGGTGAATGGGGCGGGGTGATGGAGTGCAGGAGAATGGGGCGGGGTGATGGAAAGCGAAAGAATAGGGCGGGGTGATGGAAAGCGGGAGATGGGGCGAGGTGATGGAAAGCGGGAGAATGGGGCGGGTAATGGAAAGCTGGAGAATGGGGCGGGGTGATAGAAGGAGGGAAAATGGGGAGGGGTGATGGAAAGCGGGGGAATGGGGCGGGATGATGGGAAGCGGGAGAATGGGGCGGGGTGATGGAAAGCGGGAGAATGGGGCAGGGAGATGGAAAGCGGGAGAATGGGGCGGGGTGATGGAAGGAGGGAGAATGGGGCGGGTGATGGAAGGAGGGAGAAGGGGGCGGCGTGATGGAAAGCGGCAGAAAGGGGCGGGGTGATGGAAAGCGGGAGAACGGGGCGGGGTGATGGAAGGATGGAGAATGGGGCGGGGTGATGGAATGCGGGAGAATGTGGCGGGGTGATGGAAAGCGGGAGAATGAGGTGGGGTTATGGGAAGCGGGAGAATGGGGCGGGGTGATGGAAAGCGGGAGAATGGGGCGGGGTGATGGAAGGAGGGAGAATAGCGCGGGGTGATGGAAAGCGGGAGAATGGGCGGGGTGATGGAAGGAGGGAGAATGGGGCGGGGTGATGGAAAGCGGGAGAATGGGGCGGGGTGATGGAAAGCAGGAGAATGGGGCGCGGTGATCAAAAGCGGGAGAATGGGGCGGTGTGATGGAAAGCGGGAGCATGGGGCGGGGTGATGGAAGGAGGTAGAATGAGGCGGGGTCATGGAAGGAGGGAGAATGGGGCGGGGAGATGGAAAGCGGGAGAATGGGGTGGGCTGATGGAAAGCAGGAGAATTGGGCGGGGTGATGGAAGGAGGGAGAATGGGGCCGGGTGATGGAAAGCGGTAGAATGGGGCGGGGTGATGGAAAGCGGGAGCATGGGGCGGGGTGATGGAAGGAGGTAGAATGAGGCGGGGTGATGGAAGGAGGGAGAATGGGGCGGGGAGATGGAAAGTGGGAGAATGGGGCGGGGTGATGGAAAGCGGGAGAATGGGGCGGGGTGATGGAAAGCGGGAGAATGGGGTGGGGTGATCGAAAGCGGGAGAATGGGGCGGGGTGATGGAAAGCGGGAGAATGGGGCGGGGTGATGGAAGGCGGGAGAATGGGGCGGGGTGATGGAAAGCGGGAGAATGGCGCGGGCTGATGGAAAGCGGGAGAATAGGGCGGGGTGATGGAAGGAGGGAGAAAGGGGCGGGGTGATGGAAGGAGGGAGAACGGGGCGGGTGATAGAAGGAGGGAGAATGGGGCGGGGTTATGGAAAGCGGGAAAAATGGGCGGGGTGATGGAAAGCGGGAGAATGGGGCGGGGTGATGGAAGGAGGGAGAATGGGGCGGGGTGATGGAAAGCGGGAGATTAGGGCAGGGTGATGGAAAGCGTGAGAATGGGGCAGGGTGATAGAAAGCGGGAAAATGGGGCGGGGTGATGGAAAGTGGGAGAATGGGGCTGGGTGATGGAAAGCGGGAGAATGGGGTGGGGTGATGGAAAGCGGGAGAATGGGGCGGGGTGATGGAAGCAGGGAGAATGAGGCGGGGTGATGGAAGGAGGGAGAATGGGGCGGGGTGATGGAAAGCGGGAGAATGGGGCGGGGTGATGGAAAGCGGGAGAATGGGGCGGGGTGTTGGAAAGCATGAGAATGGGGCGGGGTGATGAAAAGTGGGAGAATGGGGCGGAGTGATGGAAAGTGGGAGAATGGGGCGGGGTGATGGAAAGCGGGAGAATGGGGCGGGTGATGGAAAGCGGGTGAATGGGGCTGGGTGATGGAAAGCAGGAGAATGGGGCGGGGTGATGGAAAGCGGAAGAATGGGGCGTGTAATGGAAAGCGGGAGAATGGGTCGGGGTGATGGAAGGAGGGAGAATGGGGAGGGATGATGGAAAGCGGGGGAATGGGGCGGGATGATGGGAAGCGGGAGAATGGGGCGTGGTGATGGAAAGCGGGAGAATGGGGCGGGGTGATGGAAAGAGGGAGAATGGGGCAGGGAGATGGAAAGCGGGAGAAAGGGGCGGGGTGATGGAAAGCGGGAGAATGGGGCGGGCTGATGGAAAGCGGGAGAATGGGGCGGGGTGATTGAAGGAGGGAGAATGGGGCGGGGTGATGGAAGGAGGGAGAAGGGGGCAGGGTGATGGAAAGCGGAAGAATGGCGCGGGGTGATGGAAAGCGGGAGAATGGGGCAGGGTGATGGAAAGCGGGAGAATGGGGCGGGGTGATGGAAAGCGGGAGAATGGTGCGGGGTGATGGAAAGCGGAGGAATGGGGCAGGGTGATGGAAAGCGGGAGAATGGGGCGGGGTGAAGGAAGGAGGGAGAATGGGGCGGGGAAATGGAAGGAGGAAGAAGGGGGCGGGGTGATGGAAAGCGAGAGAATGGGCCGGGGTGTTGGAAAGCGGTTTTCCCTCTTTCCATCACCCCGCCCCATTCTCCCGCTTTCCATCACCCCGCCCCATTCTCCCTCTTCCCATCACCCCGCCCCATTCTCCCGCCTTTCATCACCCCGCCCCATTCTCCCGCTTTCCATCACCCCACCCAATTCTCCTGCTTCCCATCACCCCGCCCCATTCTCCCGCCTTCCATCACCCTGCCCCATTCTCCCTCTTTCCATCACCCCGCCCCATTCTCACGCTTTCCATCACCCCGCCCCATTCTCCCTCTTTCCATCACCCTGCCCCATTCTCCCGCTTTCCATCAACCCGCCCCATTCTCCCTCTATCCATCACCCCGCCCAATTCTCCCACTTTCCATCACCCCGTCCCATTCTCCCGTTTTCCATCACCCCGCCCCATTCTCTCACTTTCCATCACCCCGCTTTATTCTCCCACTTTCCATCACCCCGCCCCATTCTCCCAATTTCCATCACCCCGCCCCATTCTCCCGCTTTCCATCACCCCGCCCCATTCTCCTGCTTTCCAACAGCCCGCCCCATTCTCCCACTTTCCATCACCTCTCCCCATTCTCCCTCTTTCCATCACCCCGCCCCATTCTCCTGCTTTCTATCACTCCGCCCCATTCTCGCTCTTTCCATCACCCCGCCCCATTCTCCCGCCTTCCATCACCCCGCCCCATTCTCCATCTTTCCATCACCCTCCTCAATTCTCCCGCTTTCCATCACCCCGCCCCATTCTCCCGCCTTCCATCACCCCACCCCATTCTCCATCTTTCCATCACCCCGCCCCATTCTCCCGCTTTCCATCACCCCGCCCCATTCTCCCGCTTTCCATCACCCCGCCCCATTCTCCCGCTTTCTATAACCCCACCCCATTCTCCCGCTTTCCATCACCCCGCCCCATTCTCCCGCTTTCCATCACCCCGCCCCATTCTCCCGCTTTCCATCACCCCGCCCCATTCTCCCGCTTTCCATCACCCCGCCCCATTCTCCCGCTTTCCATCACCCCGTCCCGTTCTCTCGCTTTCCATCACCCCGGCCCATTCTCCCGCTTTCTATCACCCCGCCCGCTCCATTCTCCCGCTTTCCATCACCCCGCCCAATTCTCCCACTTTCCATCACCCCTCCCCATTCTCCCTCTTCCCATCACCCCGCCCCATTCTCCCTCTTTCCATCACCCTGCCCCATTCTCCCGCCTTTCATCACCCCGCCCCATTCTCCCGCCTTTCATCACCCCGCCCCATTCTCCCGCTTTCCATCACCCCTCCCAATTCTCCCGCTTTCCATCACCCCGCCCCATTCTCCCACTTTCCATCACCCCGCCCCATTCTCCCTCTTTCCATCACCCAGCCCCATTCTCTCGCTTTCCATCACCCCGCCTCATTCTCCCTCTTTCCATCACCCCGCCCCATTCTCCCTCTTTCCATCACCCCGCCCCATTCTCCCACTTTCTATCACCGCGCGCCATTTTCCCTCTTTCCATCACCCCGCCCCATTCTCCCGCTTTCCATCACCCTGCCCCATTCTCTCGCTTTTTATCATCCCGCTCCATTGTCCCGCTTTTCATCACCCCGCCCAATTCTCCCTCTTTCCATCACCCCTCCCCATTATCCCTTTTTCCATCACCTCGCCCCATTCTCCCGCTTTCCATCACCCCGCCCCATTCTCCCTCTTTCCATCACCCCGCCCCATTCTCCCTCTTTCCATCACCCCGCCCCATTCTCCCGCTTTCCATCACCTCGACCAATTCTCCCTCTTTCCATCACCCCGACCCATTCTCCCTCTTTCCATCACCCTGCCCCATTCTCCCTCTATCCATCACCCCACCCAATTCTCCCGCTTTCCATCACCCCGTCCCACTCTCCCGCTTTCCATCACCCCACCCCATCCTCCCCTCTTTCCATCACCCCGCCCCATCCTCCCCTCTTTCCATCACCCCGCCCCATTCTCCCGATTTTTATCACCCCGCCCCATTCTCCCTCTTTCCATCACCCCGCCCCATTCTCCCGCTTTCCATCACCCCGCCCCATTCTCCCTCTTTCCATCACCCCGCCCCATTCTCCCTCTTTCCATCACCCCGCCCCGTTCTCCCGCTTTCCACCACCCCGCCCCATTCTCCCTCTTTCCATAACCCCGCCCCATTCTCCCGCTTTCCATCACCCCGCCCCATTCTCCCTCTTTCCATCACCCCGCCCCGTTCTCCCGCTTTCCATCACCCCGCCCCATTCTCCCGCTTTCCATCACCCCGCCCCATTCTCCTGCTTTCCATCACCCCGCCCCATTCTCCCTCTTCCCATCACCCCGCCCCATTCTCTCGCTTTCTATCACCTCGCCCCATTCTCCCGCTTTTCATCACCCCGCCCCATTCTCCCGCTTTCCATCACCCCGTCCTATTCTCCCTCTTTCCATCATCCCGCCCCATTCTCCCGCTTTCCATCACCCCGCCCCATTCTTCCTCTTTCCATCTCCCCGCCCCATTCTCCCTCTTTCCATCACCCCGCCCCATTCTCCCGCTTTCCATCACCCCGCCCCATTCTCCCTCTTTCCATCACCCCGCCCCATTCTCCCACTTTCCATCACCCCGCCCCATTCTCCCTCTTCCCATCACCCCGCCCCATTCTCTCGCTTTCCATCACCCCGCCCCATTCTCCCGCTTTTCATCACCCCGCACCATTCTCCCGCTTTCCATCACCCCGTCCCATTCTTCCTCTTTCCATCACCCCGCCCCATTCTCCCCCTTTCCATCACCCTGCCCCATTCTTCCTCTTTCCATCTCCCCGCCCCATTCTCCCTCTTTCCATCACCCCGCCCCATTCTCCCTCTTTCCATCACCCTGCCCCATTCTCCCACTTTCCATCACCCCGCCCCATTCTCCATCTTTACATCACCCCGCCCCACTCTCCCGCCTTCCATCACCCCGCCCCATTCTCCATCTTTCCATCACCCTGCCCAATTCTCCCGCCTTCCATCACCCCACCCCATTCTCCCGTCTTCCATCACCCCGCCCCATTCTCCCTCTTTCCATCACCCTGACCCATTCTCCCGCTTTCCATCACCCCGCCCCATTCTCCCTCTTTCCATCACCCCGCCCCATTCTCCCTCTTTCCATCACCCCGACCCATTCTCCCGCTTTCCATCACCCCGCCCCATTCTCCCGCTTTCCATCACCCCGCCCCATTCTCCCGCTTTCCATCACCCCGCCCCATTCTCCCTCTTTCCATCACCCCGCCCCATTCTCCCGCTTTCCATCACCCCGCCCCATTCTCCCTCTTTCCATCTCCCCGTCCCATTCTCCCTCTTTCCATCACCCCGCCCCATTCTCCCTCTTTCCATCACCGCGCCCCATTCTCCAGCTTTCCGTCACCCCGCCCCATTCTCCCTCTTTCCATCACCCCGCCCCATTCTCCCTCTTTCCATCACCCCGACCCATTCTCCCGCTTTCCATCACCCCGCCCCATTCTCCCTCTTTCCATCACCCCGCCCCATTCTCCCGCTTTCCATCACCCCGCCCCATTCTCCCGCTTTCCATCACCCCGCGCCATTTAACCTCTTTCCATCACCCGCCCCATTCTCCCGCTTTCCATCACTCCGCCCCATTCTCCCGCTTTCCATCACTCCGCCCCATTCTCCCGCTTTCCATCACCCGTCTCCATTGTCCCGCTTTCCATCACCCCGCCAATATCTCCCTCTTTCTATCACCCCTTCCCATTCTCCCTCTTTCCATCACCCCGCCCCATTCTCCTGCTTTCCATCACCCAACCCCATTCTCCCGTCTTCCATCACCCCTCCCCATTATCCCTTTTTCCATCACCCCGCCCCATTCTCCCGCTTTCCATCACCCCGCCCCATTCTCCCGCTTTCAATTACCCCGTCCCATTCTCCCTCTTTCCATCATCCCGCCCCATTCTCCCTCTTTCCATCACCCCGCCCCATTCTCCAGCTTTCTGTCACCCCGCCCCATTCTCCCTCTTTCCATCACCCCGCCCCATTCTCCCTCTTTCCATCACCCCGACCCATTCTCCCGCTTTCCATCACCCCGCCCCATTCTCCCTCTTTCCATCACCCCGCCCCATTCTCCCTCTTTCCATCACCCCGCCCCATTCTCCCGCTTTCCATCACCCCGCGCCATTTAACCTCTTTCCATCACCCGCCCCATTCTCTCGCTTTCCATCACTCCGCCCCATTCTCCCGCTTTCCATCACTCCGCCCCATTCTCCCGCTTTCCATCACCTGGCTCCATTGTCCCGCTTTCCATCACCCCGCCCAATTCTCCCTCTTTCTATCACCCCTTCCCATTCTCCCTCTTTCCATCACCCCGCCCCATTCTCCCGCCTTCCATCACCCCACCCCATTCTCCCGTCTTCCATCATCCCGCCCCATTCTCCCTCTTTCCATCACCCTGACCCATTCTCCCGCTTTCCATCACCCCGCCCCATTCTCCCTCTTTCCATCACCCCGCCCCATTCTCCCTCTTTCCATCACCCCGCCCCATTCTCCCGCTTTCCATCACCCCGCCCCATTCTCCCTCTTTCCATCACCCCGACCCATTCTCCCGCTTTCCATCACCCCGCCCCATTCTCCCGCTTTCCATCACCCCGCCCCATTCTCCCGCTTTCCATCACCCCGCCCCATTCTCCCTCTTTCCATCACCCTGCCCCATTCTCCCTCTTTCCATTTCCCCGCCCCATTCTCCTGCTTTCCATCACCCCGGCCCATTCTCCCTCTTTCCATCACCCCGCCCCATTCTCCTGCTTTCCATCACCGCGCCCCATTCTCCAGCTTTCCGTCACCCCGCCCCATTCTCCCTCTTTCCATCACCCCGCCCCATTCTCCCTCTTTCCATCACCCCGACCCATTCTCCCGCTTTCCATCACCCCGCCCCATTCTCCCTCTTTCCATCACCCCGCCCCATTCTCCCTCTTTCCATCACCCCGCCCCATTCTCCCGCTTTCCATCACCCCGCGCCATTTAACCTCTTCCCATCACCCGCCCCATTCTCCCGCTTTCCATCACTCCGCCCCATTCTTCCGCTTTCCATCACTCCGCCCCATTCTTCCGCTTTCCATCACCCGTCTCCATTGTCCCGCTTTCCATCACCCCGCCCCATTCTCCCGCTTTCCATCACCCCGCCCCATTCTCCTGCTTTCCATCACCCCGCCCCATTCTCCCGTCTTCCATCACCCCTCCCCATTATCCCTTTTTCCATCACCCCGCCCCATTCTCCCGCTTTCCATCACCCCGCCCCATTCTCCCGCTTTCAATTACCCCGTCCCATTCTCCCTCTTTCCATCACCCCGCCCCATTCTCCCTCTTTCCATCACCCCGCCCCATTCTCCAGCTTTCTCTCACCCCGCCCCATTCTCCCTCTTTCCATCACCCCGCCCCATTCTCCCTCTTTCCATCACCCCGACCTATTCTCCCGCTTTCCATCACCCCGCCCCATTCTCCCTCTTTCCATCACCCCGCCCCATTCTCCCTCTTTCCATCACCCCGCCCCATTCTCCCGCTTTCCATCACCCCGCGCCATTTAACCTCTTTCCATCACCCGCCCCATTCTCCCGCTTTCCATCACTCCGCCCCATTCTCCCGCTTTCCATCACTCCGCCCCATTCTCCCGCTTTCCATCACCCGGCTCCATTGTCCCGCTTTCCATCACCCCGCCCAATTCTCCCTCTTTCTATCACCCCTTCCCATCCTCCCTCTTTCCATCACCCCGCCCCATTCTCCTGCTTTCCATCACCCCGCCCCATTCTCCCTCTTTCCATCACCCTGCCCCATTCTTCCTCTTTCCATTTCCCCGCCCCATTCTCCTGCCTTCCATCACCCCGGCCCATTCTCCCTCTTTCCATCACCCCGCCCCATTCTCCTGCTTTCCATCACCCCGCTCCATTCTCCCGCTTTCCATCACCGCGCCCAATTCTCCCGCTTTCCATCACCCCTCTCCATTCTCCCTCTTTCCATCTCCCCGCCCCATTCTCCTTCTTTCCATCAACCCATCCCATTCTCCCTCTTTCCGTCACCCAACCCCATTCTCCCTGTTTCCATCACCTCGCCCCATTCTCCCTCTTTCCATCACCCCGCCCCATTCTTCCTGTTTCCATCACCTCGCCCCATTCTCTCGCTTTCCATCACCCCTCCCTATTCTCCCTCTTTCAATCACCCCGCCCCATTCTCCCGCTTTCCATCACCCCGCCCCATTCTCCCTCTTTCCATCACCCCGCCCTATTCTCCCTCTTTCCATCACCCTGCCCCATTCTCCCGCCTTCCATCACCCCGCCCCATTCTCCCTCTTTCCATCACCCCGCTCCATTCTCCCGCTTTCCATCACCCCGCCCCATTCTTCCGCTTTCCATCACCCCGCTCCATTCTCCCGCTTTCCATCACCCCGCCCCATTCTCCCGCTTTCCATCACCCCGCCCCATTCTCCCTCTTTCCATCACCTCGCCCCATTCTCCCACTTTCCATCACCCCGTCCCATTCTCCCGCTTTCCATAACCACGCTCCATTCTCCCGCTTTCCATCACCCCGCCCAATTCTCCCTCTTTCCATCACCCCTCCCTATTCTCCCTCTTTCCATCACCCTGCCCCATTCTCTCGCTTTCCATCACCCCGCCCCATTCTCCCGCTTTCCATCACCCCGCCCCATTCTCCCGCTTTCCATCACCCCGCCCCATTCTCTCGCTTTCCATCACCCCGCCCAATTCTCCCTCTTTCCATCACCCCGCCCCGTTCTCCTGCTTTCCATCACCCCGCCCCGTTCTCCCGCTTACCATCACCCCGCCCCATTCTCCCTCTTTCTATCACCCCGCCCCGTTCTCCCGCTTTCCATCACCCCGCCCCGTTCTCCCGCTTTCCATCACCCCGCCCCATTCTCCCCCTTTCCATCACCCCGCCCCATTCTCCCCCTTTCCATCACCCGCCCCATTCTCCCTCTTTCTATCAGCCCGCCCCATTCTCCCTCTTTCCATCACCCCGCCCCATTCTCCCGCTTTCCATCACCCCGCCCCATTCTCCCGCTTTCCATCACCCCACCCCATTCTCCCTCTTTCCATCACCCTGCCCCATTCTCCCTCTATCCATCACCCCGCCCAACTCTCCCGCTTTCCATCTCCCCGTCCCATTCTCCCGCTTTCCATCACCCCGCCCCATTCTTTTGCTTTCCATCACTCCACCCCATCCTCCTTCTTTCCATCACCCCGCCCCATTCTCCCGATTTCCATCACCCCGCCCCGTTCCCCCGCTTTCCATCACCCCGCCCCATTCTCCCGCTTTCCATCATCCCGCCCCATTCTCCCGCTTTCCATCACCCCGCCCCATTCTCCCTCTTTCCATCACCCCGCCCCATTCTTCCTCTTTCCATCACCCCGCCCCATTCTCCCGATTTCCATCACCCCGCCCCATTCTCCCAATTTCCATCACCCCGCCCCATTCTCCCTCTTTCCATCACCCCGCCCCATTCTCCCTCTTTCCATCACCCCGCCCCACTCTCCCGCCTTCCATCACCCCGCCCAATTCTCCCTCTTTCCATCACCCCGCCCCATTCTCCATCTTTCCATCACCCCGCCCCATTCTCCCGCTTTCCATCACCCCGCCCCATTCTCCCTCTTTCCATCACCCCGCGCCATTCTCCCTCTTTCCATCACCCCGCCCCATTCTCCCGCTTTCCATCACCCCGCGCCATTTTCCCTCTTTCCATCACCCCGCCCCATTCTCCCGCTTTCCATCACCCCGCCCCATTCTCTCGCTTTCCATCATCCCGCTCCATTGTCCCGCTTTCCATCACCCCGCCCAATTCTCCCTCTTTCCATCACCCCTCCCCATTCTCCCTTTTTCCATCACCCCGCCCCATTCTCCCGCTTTCCATCACCCCTTCCCATTCTCCCTCTTTCCATCACCTCGCCCCATTCTCCTGCTTTCCATCACCCCGCCCCATTCTCCCTCTTTCCATCACCCTGCCCCATTCTCCCTCTTTCCATTTCCCCGCCCCATTCTCCTGCTTTCCATCACCCCGGCCCATTCTCCCTCTTTCCATCACCCCGCCCCATTCTCCTGCTTTCCATCACCCCGCTCCATTCTCCCGCTTTCCATCACCCGCCCAATTCTCCCGCTTTCCATCACCCCTCTCTATTCTCCCTCTTTCAATCTCCCCGCCCCATTCTCCTTCTTTCCATCAACCCATCCCATTCTCCCTCTTTCCGTCACCCAACCCCATTCTCCCTGTTTCCATCACCTCGCCCCATTCTCCCTCTTTCCATCACCCCGCCCCATTCTTCCTGTTTCCATCACCTCGCCCCATTCTCTCGCTTTCCATCACCCTCCCTATTCTCCCTCTTTCCATCACCCCGCCCCATTCTCCCGCTTTCCATCACCCCGCCCCATTCTCCCTCTTTCCATCACCCCGCCCCATTCTCCCTCTTTCCATCACCCCGCCCCATTCTCCCGCCTTCCATCACCCTGCCCCATTCTCCCTCTTTCCATCACCCCGCTCCATTCTCCCGCTTGTCATCACCCCGCCCCATTCTTCCGCTTTCCATCACCCCGCTCCATTCTCCCGCTTTCCATCACCCCGCCCCATTCTCCCGCTTTCCATCACCCCGCCCCATTCTCCCTCTTTCCATCACCTCGCCCCATTCTCCCACTTTCCATCACCCCGTCCCATTCTCCCGCTTTCCATCACCACGCTCCATTCTCCCGCTTTCCATCACCCCGCCCAATTCTCCCTCTTTCCATCACCCCTCCCTATTCTCCCTCTTTCCATCACCCGCCCCATTCTCCCTCTTTCTATCAGCCCGCCCCATTCTCCCTCTTTCCATCACCCCGCCCCATTCTCCCGCTTTCCATCACCCCGCCCCATTCTCCCGCTTTCCATCACCCCACCCCATTCTCCCTCTTTCCATCACCCTGCCCCATTCTCCCTCTATCCATCACCCCGCCCAACTCTCCCGCTTTCCATCACCCCGTCCCATTCTCCCGCTTTCCATCACCCCGCCCCATTCTTTTGCTTTCCATCACTCCACCCCATCCTCCCTCTTTCCATCACCCCGCCCCATTCTCCCGATTTCCATCACCCCGCCCCGTTCCCCCGCTTTCCATCACCCCGCCCCATTCTCCCGCTTTCCATCATCCCGCCCCATTCTCCCGCTTTCCATCACCCCGCCCCATTCTCCCTCTTTCCATCACCCCGCCCCATTCTTCCTCTTTCCATCACCCCGCCCCATTCTCCCGATTTCCATCACCCCGCCCCATTCTCCCAATTTCCATCACCCCGCCCCATTCTCCCTCTTTCCATCACCCCGCCCCATTCTCCCTCTTTCCATCACCCCGCCCCACTCTCCCGCCTTCAATCACCCCGCCCAATTCTCCCTCTTTCCATCACCCCGCCCCATTCTCCATCTTTCCATCACCCCGCCCCATTCTCCCGCTTTCCATCACCCCGCCCCATTCTCCCTCTTTCCATCACCCCGCGCCATTCTCCCTCTTTCCATCACCCCGCCCCATTCTCCCGCTTTCCATCACCCCGCGCCATTTTCCCTCTTTCCATCACCCCGCCCCATTCTCCCGCTTTCCATCACCCCGCCCCATTCTCTCGCTTTCCATCATCCCGCTCCATTGTCCCGCTTTCCATCACCCCGCCCAATTCTCCCTCTTTCCATCACCCCTCCCCATTCTCCCTTTTTCCATCACCCCGCCCCATTCTCCCGCTTTCCATCACCCCTTCCCATTCTCCCTCTTTCCATCACCTCGCCCCATTCTCCTGCTTTCCATCACCCCGCCCCATTCTCCCTCTTTCCATCACCCTGCCCCATTCTCCCTCTTTCCATTTCCCCGCCCCATTCTCCTGCTTTCCATCACCCCGGCCCATTCTCCCTCTTTCCATCACCCCGCCCCATTCTCCTGCTTTCCATCACCCCGCTCCATTCTCCCGCTTTCCATCACCCGCCCAATTCTCCCGCTTTCCATCACCCCTCTCCATTCTCCCTCTTTCAATCTCCCCGCCCCATTCTCCTTCTTTCCATCAACCCATCCCATTCTCCCTCTTTCCGTCACCCAACCCCATTCTCCCTGTTTCCATCACCTCGCCCCATTCTCCCTCTTTCCATCACCCCGCCCCATTCTTCCTGTTTCCATCACCTGGCCCCATTCTCTCGCTTTCCATCACCCTCCCTATTCTCCCTCTTTCCATCAGCCCGCCCCATTCTCCCGCTTTCCATCACCCCGCCCCATTCTCCCTCTTTCCATCACCCCGCCCCATTCTCCCTCTTTCCATCACCCCGCCCCATTCTCCCGCCTTCCATCACCCTGCCCCATTCTCCCTCTTTCCATCACCCCGCTCCATTCTCCCGCTTGTCATCACCCCGCCCCATTCTTCCGCTTTCCATCACCCCGCTCCATTCTCCCGCTTTCCATCACCCCGCCCAATTCTCCCTCTTTCCATCACCCCTCCCTATTCTCCCTCTTTCCATCACCCTGCCCCATTCTCCCGCTTTCCATCACCCCGCCCCATTCTCCCGCTTTCCATCACCCCGCCCCATTCTCCCGCTTTCCATCACCCCGCCCCATTCTCTCGCTTTCCATCATCCCGCTCCATTGTCCCGCTTTCCATCACCCCGCCCAATTCTCCCTCTTTCCATCACCCCTCCCCATTCTCCCTTTTTCCATCACCCCGCCCCATTCTCCCGCTTTCCATCACCCCGCCCCATTCTCCCTCTTTCCATCACCCCGCCCCACTCTCCCGCCTTCCATCAACCCGCCCAATTCTCCCTTTTTCCATCACCCCGCCCCATTCTCCCTCTTTCCATCACCCCGCCCCATTCTTCCGCTTTCCATCACCCCGCCCCATTCTCCTTCTTTCCATCACCCGCCCCATTCTCCCTCTTTCCATCACCCTGCCCCATTCTCCCTCTTTCCATCACCCCGCCCCACTCTCCCGCCTTCCATCACCCCGCCCAATTCTCCCTCTTTCCATCACCCCGCCCCATTCTCCCTCTTTCCATCAACCCGCCCCATTCTCCCGCTTTCCATCACCCCGCCCCATTCTCCCTCTTTCCATCACCCCGCCCCATTCTCCCTCTTTCCATCACCCCGCCCTATTCTCCCGCTTTCCATCACCCCGCGCCATTTTCCCTCTTTCCATCACCCCGCCCCATTCTCCCGCTTTCCATCACCCCGCCCCATTCTCTCGCTTTCCATCATCCCGCTCCATTGTCCCGCTTTCCATCAACCCGCCCAATTCTCCCTCTTTCCATCACCCCTCCCCATTCTCCCTTTTTCCATCACCCCGCCCCATTCTCCCGCTTTCCATCACCCCGCCCCATTCTCCCTCTTTCCATCACCCCGCCCCACTCTCCCGCCTTCCATCAACCCGCCCAATTCTCCCTTTTTCCATCACCCCGCCCCATTCTCCCTCTTTCCATCACCCCGCCCCATTCTCCCGCTTTCCATCACCCCGCCCCATTCTCCTTCTTTCCATCACCCCGCCCCATTCTCCCTCTTTCCATCACCCCGCCCCATTCTCCCGCTTTCCATCACCCCGCGCCATTTTCCCTCTTTCCATCACCCCGCCCCATTCTCCCGCTTTCCATCACCCCGCCCCATTCTCTCGCTTTCCATCATCCCGCTCCATTGTCCCGCTTTCCATCACCCCGCCCAATTCTCACTTTTTCCATCACCCCTCCCCATTCTCCCCTTTTCCATCACCCCGCCCCATTCTCCCGCTTTCCATCACCCCGCCCCATTCTCCCTCTTTCCATCACCCCGCCCCATTCTCCCTCTTTCCATCACCCCGCCCCATTCTCCCGCTTTCCATCACCCCGCCCCATTCTACCGCTTTCCGTCACCCCACCCCATTCTCCCTCTGTCCATCACCCCGCCCCATTCTCCCTCTTTCCATCACCCCGCCCCATTCTCCCGCTTTCCATCACCCCACCCCATTCTCCCTCTTTCCTTCACCCCGCCCCATTCTCCCTCTTTCCATCACCCCGCCCCATTCTCCCGATTTCCATCACCCCGCGCCATTTTCCCTCTTTCCATCACCCCACCCCATTCTCCCACTTTCCATCACCCTGCCCCATTCTCCCTCTATCCATCACCCCGCCCAATTCTCCCGCTTTCCATCACCCCGTGCCATTCTCCCGCTTTCCATCACCCCGCCCCATTCTCCCTCTTTCCATCACCCCGCCCCATTCTCCCGCTTTCCATGACCCCGCCCCATTCTCCCGCTTTCCATCACCCCGCTCCATCCTCCCGCTTTCCATCACCCCGCCCAATTCTCCCTCTTTCCATCACCCCTCCCCATTCTCCCTCTTTCCATCAGCCCGCACCATTCTCCTGCTTTCCATCACCCCGCCCCATTCTACCACTTTCCATCACCCCACCCCATTCTCCCGCTTTCCATCACCCCGCTCCATTCTCCCGCTCTCCATCACCCCACCCAATTGTCCCGATTTGCATCACCCCGCCCCATTCTCCCGCTTTCCATCACCCCGCCCCATTCTCCCTCTTTCCATCACCTTGCCCCGTTCTCCCGCTTTCCATCACCCCGCCCCATTCACCCTCTTTCCATCAGCCCGCCCCATTCTCTCGCTTTCCATCACCCCGCCCCATTCTCCCTCTTTCCATCATCCCTCCCCATTCTCCCGCTTTCCATCACCCCGCCTCATTCTCCCTCTATCCATCACCCCGCCCCATTCTACCACTTTCCATCACCCCGCCCCATTCTCCCGCTTTTCATCACCCCGCCCCATTCTCCCGCTTTCCATCACCCCGCCCCATTCTCCCATCACCCCGCCCCATTCTCCCGCTTTCCATCACCACGCCCCATTCTCCCGCTTTCCATCACCCCACCCCACTCTCCCGCTTTCCATCACTCCGCCCCATTCTCCCGCTTTCCATCACCCCGCCCCATTCTCCCGCTTTCCATCACCCCGCCCCATTCTTCTCCTTCCATCACCCCGCCTCATTCTACCTCCTTCCATCACCCCGCCCCATTCTCCCGCTTTCTATCACCCCGCCCAATTCTCCCGCTTTCCATCACCCCGCCCCATTCTCCCGCTTTCCATCACCACGCCCCATTCTCCCGCTTTCCATCACCCCGCCCCATTCTCCCTCCTTCCATCACTATGCCCCATTCTCCCGCTTTCCGTCACCCCGCCCCATTCTCCCGCTTTCCATAACCCCGCCCCATTCTCCCGCTTTCCATCAACCCTCCACAATCTCCCACTTTCCATCACCCCGCCCCATTCTCCCTCCTTCCATCGCCCCGCCCCATTCTTCCGCTTTCCATCACCCCGCCCCATTCTCCCTCCTTTGATCACCCCGCCCCATTCTCCGTGTGTCCAACCCACCGTGTGTTCAACACACCGTGTGTTCAACCCACTGTGTGTTAAACCCACCGTCTGTAAAATCCACCGTGTGTTAAACCCACCGTGTGTTAAACCCACCGTGTGTTAAACCCATCGTGTGTTGAACCCACCGTGTGTTAAACCCACCGTGTGTTTAACCCACCGTGTGTTAAACCCACCGGGTGTTCAACCCACCATGCGTTCAACCCACCGTGTGTTCAACCCACCATGTGTTCAACCCAACCCACCGTGTGTTAAAACCAACGTGTGTTAAACCCACCGTGTGTTCAACCCACCGTGTGTTCAACCCACCGTGTGTTAAACCCACCGTGTGTTAAACCTACTGTGCGTTCGACCCACCGTGTGTTCAACCCACCGTGAGTTCAACCCACCGTGTGTTCAACCCACCGTGTGTTAAACCTACAGTGTGTTCAAACCACCGTGTGTTAAACCAACCGTGTATTAAACCCACCGTGTGTTCAACCCACCGTGTGTTGAACCCACCGTGTGTTCAACCCACCGTGTGTTCAACCCACCGTGTGTTAAACCCACCGTCTGTTGAACCCACCGTGTGTTCAACCCACCGTGTGTTCAACCCACCGTGTGTTCAACCCACCGTTTGTTAAACCTACCGCGTGTTCAACCCACCGTGTGTTCAACCCACCGTGTGTTCAACCCACCGTGTGTTCAACCCACATTGTGTTAAACGTACCGTGCGTTCAACCCACCGTGTGTTAAACCAACCGTGTGTTAAACCCACCGTGTGTTCAACCCACCGTGTGTTAAACCCACCGTGTGTTCAACCCACCGTGTGTTCAACCCACCGTGTGTTAAACCCAACGTCTGTTAAACCCACCGTGTGTTCAACCCACCGTGTGTTCAACCCACCGTGTGTTCAACCCTTCGTTTGTTAAACCTACCGTGTGTTCAACCCACCGTGTGTTCAACCCACCGCGTGTTTAACCCACCGTGTGTTCAACCCACCGTGTGTTCAACCCACCGTGTGTTAAACCAACCGTGTGTTAAACCCACCGTGTGTTCAACCCACCGTGTGTTCAACCCACCGTGTATTGAACCCACCGTGTGTTCAACCCACCGTGTGTTCAACACACCGTGTGTTCAACCCACCGTGTGTTCAACCCACCGTGTGTTCAACCCACCGTGTGTTCAACCCACCGTGTGTTCAACCAACCGTGTGTTCAACCCACCGTGTGTTCAACCCACCGTGTGTTAAACCCACCGTGTGTTAAACCTACGGTATGTTCAACCCACCGTGTGTTCAACCCACCATGTGTAAAACCCACCGTGTGTTCAACCTACCGTGTGTTCAGCCCACCGTGTGTTCAACCCACCGTGTGATCAACCCACCGTGTGGTAAACCCACCGTGTGTTAAACCCACCGTGTGTTCAACCCACCGTGTGTTCAACCCACCGTGTGTTCAACCCACCGTGTGTTCAACCCACCGTGTGTTCAACCCACCGCGTGTTCAACCCACCGTTTGTTAAACCTACCGTGTGTTCAACCCACCGTGTGTTCAACCCACCGTGTGTTCAACCCACCGTGTGTTCAACCCACCGTGTGTTCAACCCACATTGTGTTAAACCTACCGTGCGTTCAACCCACCGTGTGTTCAACCCACTGTGTGTTCAACCCACCGTGTGTTCAACCCACCGTGTGTTAAACCTAAAGTGTGTTCAACCCACCGTGTGTTAAACCAACCGTGTGTTAAACCCACCGTGTGTTCAACCCACCGTGTGTTAAACCCACCGTGTGTTCAACCCACCGTGTGTTCAACCCACCGTGTGTTAAACCAACCGTGTGTTAAACCCACCGTGTGTTCAACCCACCGTGTGTTAAACCTACCGTGTGTTCAACCCACCGTGTGTTCAACCCACCGTGTGTTCAACCCACCGTGTGTTAAACCTACCGTGTGTTCAACCCACCGTGTGTTCAACCCACCGTGTGTTAAACTCACTGTGTGTTAAACCCACCGTGTGTTAATCCCACCGTGTGTTAAACCCACCGTGTGTTCAACCCCCCGTGTGTTAAACCTACCGTGTGTTCAACCCACCGTGTATTCAACCCACCGTGTGTTCAACACACCGTGTGTTCAACCCACCTTTTGTTCAACCCACCGTGTGTTAAACCTACCGTGTGTTCAACCCACCGTGTGTTCAACCCACCGCGTGTTCAACCCACCGTGTGTTAAACCTACCGTGTGTTCAACCCACCGTTTGTTCAACCCACCGTGTGTTCAACCCACCGTGTGTTCAACCCACCGTGTGTTAAGCCTACCGTGTGTTCAACCCACCGTGTGTTCAACCCACCGTGTGTTCAACCCACCGTGTGTTAAACCTACCGTATGTTCAACCCACCGTGTGTTCAACCCACCGTGTGTTCAACCCACCGTGTGTTCAACCCACCCTGTGTTCAACCCACCGTGTGTTAAACCCACCGTGTGTTTAACCCACAGTGTGTTATACCCACCGTGTGTTAAACCCACCGTGTCTTAGACCCATCGTGTGTTATACCCAACGTGTGTTCAACCCACCGTGTGTTCAACCCACCGTGTGTTCAACCCACCGTGTGTTCAACCCACCGTGTGTTCAACCCACCGTGTGTTAAACCTACAGTGTGTTCAACCCACCGTGTGTTAAACCAAGCGTCTGTTAAACCCACCGTGTGTTAAACCCACCGTCTGTTAAACCCACCGTGTGTTCAACCCACCGTGTGTTCAACCCACCGTGTGTTAAACCCACCGTGTGTTAAACCCACCGTGTGTTCAACTCACCGTGTGTTAAACCCACCGTGTGTTAAACCCACCGTGTGTTAAACATACCGTGTGTTCAACCCACCGAGTGTTCAACCCACCGTGTGTTCAACCCACCGTGTGTTCAACCCACCGTGTGTTCAACCCACCGTGTGTTCAACCCACCGTGTGTTCAACCCACCGTGTGTTCAACCCACCGTGTGTGAAGCCCACCGTGTGTTTAACCCACCGTGAGTTCAACCCACCGTGTGTTCAACCCACCGTGTGTTCAAACCACCGTGTGTTCAACCCACCGTGTGTTCAACCCACCGCGTGTTCAACCCACCGCGTGTTCAACCCACCGTTTGTTAAACCTACCGTGCGTTCAACCCACCGTGTGTTCAACCCACCGTGTGTTCAACCCACCGTGTGTTCAACCCACATTGTGTTAAACCTACCGTGCGTTCAACCCACCGTGTGTTCAACCCACCTTGTGTTCAACCCACCGTGTGTTCAACCCACCGTGTGTTAAACCTACAGAGTGTTCAACCCACCGTGTGTTAAACCAACCGTGTGTTAAACCCACCGTGTGTTCAACCCACCGTGTGTTCAACCCACCGTGTGTTCAGCCCACCGTGTGTTCAACCCACCGTGTGTTCAACCCACCGCGTCTTCAACCCACCGTTTGTTAAACCTACCGTGTGTTCAACCCACCGTGTGTTCAACCCACCGTGTGTTCAACCCACCGTGTGTTCAACCCACATTGTGTTAAACCTACCGTGCGTTCAACCCACCGTGTGTACAACCCACCGTGTGTTCAACCCACCGTGTGTTCAACCCACCGTGTGTTAAACCTACAGTGTGTTCAACCCACCGTGTGTTAAACCAACCGTGTGTTAAACCCATCGTGTGTTCAACCCACCGTGTGTTAAACCCACCGTGTGTTCAACCCACCGTGTGTTCAACCCACCGTGTGTTAAACCCACGGCCTGTTAAACCCACTGTGTGTTCAACCCACTGTGTGTTAAACCCACCGTGTGTTAAACCCACCGTGTGTTCAACCCACCGTGTGTTAAACCCACCGTGTGTTAAACCCACCGTGTGTTAAACCTACCGTGTGTTCAACCCACCGTGTGTTCAACCCACCGTGTGTTAAACCTACCGAGTGTTCAACCCACCGTGTGTTCAACCCACCGTGTGTTCAACCCACCATGTGTTCAACCCACTGTGTGTTAAACCTACCGTGTGTTCAACCCACCGTGTGTTCAACCCACCGTGTGTTCAACCCACCGTGTGTTCAACCCACCGTGTGTTCAACCCACCGTGTGTTCAACCCACCGTGTGTTAAACCCACCGTGTGTTCAACCCACCGTGTGTTCAACCCACCGTGTGTTAAACCCACCGTGTGTTCAACCCACCGTGTGTTCAACCCACCGCGTGTTTAACCCACCGTGTGTTCAACCCACCGTGTGTTCAACCCACCGTGTGTTAAACCAACCGTGTGTTAAACCCACCGTGTGTTCAACCCACCGTGTGTTCAACCCACCGTGTATTGAACCCACCGTGTGTTCAACCCACCGTGTGTTCAACACACCGTGTGTTCAACCCACCGTGTGTTCAACCCACCGTGTGTTCAACCCACCGTGTGTTCAACCCACCGTGTGTTCAACCAACCGTGTGTTCAACCCACCGTGTGTTCAACCCACCGTGTGTTAAACCCACCGTGTGTTAAACCTACGGTATGTTCAACCCACCGTGTGTTCAACCCACCATGTGTAAAACCCACCGTGTGTTCAACCTACCGTGTGTTCAGCCCACCGTGTGTTCAACCCACCGTGTGATCAACCCACCGTGTGGTAAACCCACCGTGTGTTAAACCCACCGTGTGTTCAACCCACCGTGTGTTCAACCCACCGTGTGTTCAACCCACCGTGTGTTCAACCCACCGTGTGTTCAACCCACCGCGTGTTCAACCCACCGTTTGTTAAACCTACCGTGTGTTCAACCCACCGTGTGTTCAACCCACCGTGTGTTCAACCCACCGTGTGTTCAACCCACCGTGTGTTCAACCCACATTGTGTTAAACCTACCGTGCGTTCAACCCACCGTGTGTTCAACCCACTGTGTGTTCAACCCACCGTGTGTTCAACCCACCGTGTGTTAAACCTAAAGTGTGTTCAACCCACCGTGTGTTAAACCAACCGTGTGTTAAACCCACC